GAGAAAAAAGACATGCAAAGTAAAATAAAATTAAAATTTAAAAAAAAATTATTTTCGAGATTGTCTTTTGTTGTCGATTCCATTATTTCAAATTAGTATTACATGTCAGGTGAAAAGATTTTTACTGTCGGAGTATTTTTATTGGCTGAAAAATCACGTGGTAGGATCCAGTTTTTCCTCATTCATTTAATTTAACGCCAGTAAAAATCGCAGAATTCTACAGTTTCAAACATAGGAACCGTTCACTAATTGTATTGATGGTTCGTGCTTGTAGCCTTACCCGCAGCATTCATTGTTTCAAATTTTTTGGGTATGAAGCCATTTCTTGAAAAAGAAACTCAGTAAACAATTTTACATTATCGAATTTTAATGGAAAATGAGTTCAGGGGATCATTTTTTCTTACTTTCAACAAATGCAGTAACCAATCTTATAGGGTGGAGTTGCGTAGTTTTACAATTATTGATTGGTCTCTTTCATTTAATTTTAAATGGGAATTCTCATATGGTAAGAGCAGTGGCCTGATTTTAATATATGTTCGGGGCGGGGTATCTCCTTCTGACGTAAACATATATGTGTGTGAGTGCAAATGTTTAATGCGTTGAAATTTTTGGTAAATATTTTTGTTTTTGTACAATTGACATTATAAGAATCATCCAAATCGGTTTCCATCAGTTTAAACTGTAATAAGACTTAATTCTAAAAAACTGACAAAAGCGTAGTTTTAAATTTCTCTCTCAAAATCACAAATCGCCGTTTTTTATTGCTTTAAATTTTGAGGAAAATTTCATAGAATTTCTCAAAATTTTCAAGTTATATTTCTCCTTATCTAATAATGCGACCTCTGTATTTTCCACCTGCCAAGTTATGATATCGTTTTAAATTTAAAAAAAAAAAAAAAAAAAGCGAAAATTAAAAATTTAACCTAAAATCCAAGACAAGGGTCAAGAACTCATGAAGAAATTATCAATCAACCGTCCTATAAAGCATTTTGTAAAAGGTCCTGTTTTTGTAAAATTGTGAAAAAACTACTCATAATTTGTGAATATAAAATAAGCTTTAAGTCACATTCTTTCAACTAGGGTCCTGCTTTTGTGAATTTGTGCAAACAGGGTCCTGTTATTGCAAAAATTGCTAAAAACCTTTTCAAGAAGTTTTTAAATTGTGAATAGATACAAGATTAAGCTCAACAATTCATATTCACAACGATTCATATTCACTGTACATTTTTTCAATGTCTGCCGTGACAGCATACTGATGTTTACGAAAAAAAGCGTAATCGAAAAAGCTTTAAAGAAAAGACTTAAGAAAACTACATTTTTTCAATGTCTGCGGTGAAAGCATACGGATGTTTACGAAAACTAAGCTCTTGCTGTGGAATTTTTCCTTTCAAAAGAATATCATTCAACGATAAGCCCGATATAGTAAGAGTTGATGCGTTAAAAACTACGCGGAGCTTTGTAGAATTTTTGCCTGGGCGGTAAACTCTATGTTGAGGCAAATAGTAACAATTACTAGCCTCTCTCATTAGATTCTGAAACTACTTCTATGTGATTTAGATCTTTATATTCTTTTAAAAAAATCAATATAAAGTGGCTACAGGTTCGATTATCGCGTTAATCTATTCCAAAGTTGAGTTAGTCTTTTTTCTGCTAAAACTCTATTCATTGTTTAAAAGTACGACATAACGACCGTCTAAATCTCTATAATTAGTATTTTTGAAATGTTCGTCACAAAATTCTTCTTCATTACTGAGAGAAGTAAAGATATCAATATTCTCGATTTCCCAAAAATTTTCCAAATTTTTCTCCATTTTATCGTCGTTTGTAATTAAACCGCAATGTTGTATAGTGGACGGCATTCCTACTACCCCATTTACAATGTATCCCAGAGCCGTCTCTTGGAATAAAAGTTTTTCTGAGCTGCAAAAACATTCGGAACCTAATAATATGTCAATTTTTCCAGGTTTCATAAAGTTAATGTCTTCCAAAGAAATATGGGAAGGTATTTTTAGTCCCTTACCATTTATATGCGTTGTTGGTGTCAAATCTGTAATTTTTGGAACAAAAAATAAATTCCAACTCCGAACAGAAATTCCCTTCCTTATTCGAAATTGTGGAAAAAATCTTATTATTTAATGTGATTAATGTTCCATTTATATCAGAAACTGGAGTTAATGTTTTTCTTTCTTTGAGACCTTATTTTTTTGCAACGTCAGATGTTACAAAATTTGCCATAGAGCAAACATCTATAAAAGCTTGTGCTTCAATAAAATTATCTGTATTTCGAATCTTTAAAGTAGCCGTAGATAAAACAACAGTTTTATTTGCAGATGCCAAGTAATTAAGCGAGATAATTTCCTTTACATGTGCCGATGACTCTTTATTTCTCGAAAAGTTCCAATTCAGATTCACTTAGAGAAAGATAATTAATTTTATTGGGATTAGCGACGTCAGTTAACTCAAAAGTTTCTGGAACAAAGGAATGATGTTTTTTTATGGCACGTGGAGCATAGATATTTCGATCTGTATTCGCTTAACAAATAATTCCCATTAAGACATTTTAAACATAGCTTTTTTTCTTTGGCGATATTATATCTTTCATTAAAGTTCATTTTAAGAAAGGAATTACATTTATAAAGTTGGAGTTGTAAATTACAAATATCACAAGGTAATGATGTATGAATATGTGAATGAGTTTTTTTGTTTTTGATTGCGTATGATGAAATATCGTTTGAATTCAGCATAAAGTGTTTGGGTTTATGAATGTTACTTGTTTTATTTTGCAAAGACTGCCCCTTGTAAATTTTCCAAAAATTGACATAGTTTTTTTAAGAATTAAATTATCCCAATCGGGGTAATTCAGAAGTCGTTAAGGACATTTCGAAGAGTTTTCGAGACTCCATATCAATTTTTTGAAGAACAATGTTTATAAAAATAATAGAACTTGATTGTTCTAATTGTAATTCTAGCTCTTATATTTTTGATCTAATAAGTTGCGTAATTCAAAAGCAGATTCATGATTTATTTTTTCGGGATTTAAAATTGAATTTATGTGACAGTTGACAAGCAATCGTTTATGACCATACTGTTCTTCAAGTGCTTTAAAAAGTGATTTAAACGTGTTTTCTGTTGTTTGAATCTGTTTTGCATTGCCAATCACGGCAGATAGCAAATAAAATAATTTATGCTATTCATCTAGTTGTGAGTTGGATGAAATCAACTAATTGAATTGCGATTTAAAATTATGCCAAACTTCCATATTACCAGAAATTTGGGAAGAGGCAGGGGTCTGTCCAGACATTTTGTGAAAGGTCCGTTTTTCGTGAAATTGTGAAAAAATTACTCACATTCTTTCAACCAAGGTCCGCTTTTACGAATTTGTGAAAATAGGGTCCGGTTATTGCAAAAAACTTTTTCAAGGAGTTTTTAAATGGCAAAGACATACAAGATTATGCTCCGGACTGTAAAATTATAATAAATAAAAAAAAATTTCAAAAATAAACAGCAATTGCTGCTTCTAAATTAGAGATGCAACCTACAAATATTTGGTATTTAGCCTATACGCAGAACGCAGAATATTCATTTCCGACGAATAATGGAAGAATCGTCTGCCGAAGACAAAACTTAATTCGTTTACATCCATCTTTCTTGTTTTCCCCCCTGGGAAGGGTTTATTCGATTAACAAAACAATAATGAAGATAAACAAATTTTTTAAGGGTCCGATTAAAAGAAAAATCATTTTGTAAAGGGTCCGTTTTTAAGTTAAAATATTTTGTGAAGGGTCCGTTTTTATGAAAAGATATTTTGTGAAGGGTCCGTTAACGGACCCAAATTTCTTCTAAACAGACCCCTGGAAGAGGTATATGAAGCAGTTTGATTTTTATAATATCAACAATTTTAGACTTGTTTTCATAATTTTCAACAACAGTGTTCTTTATAGGATTTAGAAAGAATTTTAATTTTTTAAAGTTTACCTCTAATCCTTTTTCAATTGTTGATAATATATCATAAATTTCTTGAAGCTCGTTATCTTGTACAATGTGATAATAGTCCACACGTAATTCTTCTAATTAAACTTTTATTATTTCAAGAGCGTTTACTTTCGATTCTAGTAAAATCTTATTTTCGATATTCTCACTTTTTATAAATTCGATTTGTTTTGTGATTTTAGTTAGGATACTTCCACGTTTCCGATTAATTATTTTGGTATCTGCCATCTTCAAGAAACAAGGAAAGTTATTTACAAAAATACGTATGCATAAAAACTACAATTAACCTGTTCAGTTAGTTTAAATTTGAGCAGCTAAAGCATTTTTAATTCCACTGCTGTGGTAGCCATTACTTATGTAAATCAAAATTCATTTTCGGTCAGATAAGACCAAAAATTGTTTTGTGAATGCATAGTTGGCTGGTTACTAAAAATTGGAATAAGTGTAAATGATACTAAGACTTAAACAAAAAATATTAAAACTGCTCTAGTTTTTGATGTTTTTAAAGTCTGCAAATATGACAATTTTAAATGAGGGAATGACTCATTATACTTCTTCTAAATAAGCAATTTCAGAAGACTTATTTTAAATTAAAAAATCACCATTATAAGTTAATTTTTATGACTTTAATGTTGCTGAACAGATGACCAAATTATACCTAGTGTTAAACGAGAGCATCATATGCCTGATGATTTTATTATTATTTTTTCTTCTTTTTTTTAATATATTACTCCTATAATTAGAATTAAATGAATGACATATATTCTCATTTAAAATAAAATTCCAGTGTAAATAAATTTTTTCTGTAAATTTTGTTTCTGATTGTCATTCTCGAGATCTCATATGTTATGAAAAGTGTTGATAAAATTAGTAATGATTTTTATCTTTAAATGTTTATTCTTTTAATTTCATGATATTTTCCTCTTGTTTTGGTGTTTGAATTAATTTTCTAAAGTGAAATTTTTAAAGTTTAAATTTTATATTTATTCCCTATCTTGTTTGGTTTTCAGGTACAATCAGACTGTGTTATGAATGACTTTTGTGGTGAAAATGATTTCGGTGATGCAACTTGTTCCTATAATGGAACAGCTAAATTATTAGATGATGAAGAATCTTTAGAAATTTTAAAAGAAATTTGTCCAGAAATGTTACGGGGTATGTGTATACTTGTATTGCTTTGCAAATCTTTATGATGCTTTAATTTAATAACTGTTGTCACAATTATCACGACTGAGAATTCCAAGAAAAAGTAATTAAAAAAATAATAATAAAGCTTTTTATTTTTTTGATCTAGCTATTTTTCAGAGTCAGTTAAATATCCGAGATTTTACTATGACCTATCAACATTAATCTTACTTTAATTTTTTTCTTTTTGTTTTCCTGGGAAAAATACATAAAAATTTTGTGGTTGTAAAAATCTAGAAATAAAACAGTTTTGGTGCCAGCATTTTCTCTTTTCCAAGGTATTTACAGTTTTGAGTTATGTAATGCTGTATTCATTTCAACAAACTAAAATTTGTCTTTTAAATAAACTGCAATCAGCTAAAAATCACCAAATTTTTTTTTCCATTCCAATTATGATATTAATTACCAGTCAATGTTTTTTTATTTTTTATTTCTCATTGTATTATAAAATTTCCTTATACCAGGGTCAAAAACAAGATTACCATACCTCTATGCACCTTTGGGTGCATATGGCATTGTGCACCTCTTTGCACCTTCAGGTTTATTCTATAATCTACATGTGGCTAAGATTTTTGTTATTTTAAAATTGTTTGAAACATTAAAAAAAAAATTGGATTAAATATATTTATGATTTGACTTTCATTTTCTTACACTGAATCTCTATTTAGTCTAAATTAAAACAGCTTAGAGGGTGCTTTTCATCTAGCAAGAAAAAATGTATATAATTCTTTAGTTTTTGCTGAGAAAGCAAGATTATATTTTTTAAGTCAACCAATTTTTAAATTTTTTACTTTGGAAGCTATTGCTTAATTTTATTGCATGTGCACTAAAAGCAGTTTGTCTAAACATTAGAGCTGAGCTCCGGCTCATTTTAAGAGGTCTGAGACTAAAAACTTTTAATCTGTATTCTAATACCGTTAGTAGGTCTTTATGTCCAAGTCCCATCTGAGATTTAAATGTTTCATATAAAAGTCAGAATTCTAAAAAGATATAAGGCTAAAATTCGGAGAATAAATATAATAATGATAAAATTCAGAATAATGATAAAATAAAGGATAATAATAGAAGTAATAGAAAATAGAGAATAATAGGAAATAATGGAGAATAGAAAATAATCAAAAATAGAGAATAATAATGAAATTCAGAATATATAAGATACATTGCCTATTTTCAGATCATGGCATTTAATACTTCTATATTATTTATGTTTTACAATTTTGCTTAACAAATGAGAAAAGCAAACTTTTATTATCTCGTTAGTTTAAAATAGAAAGTAGTAAATATATGAAAACTCAATTATAAGTCCAGGCATTAAAGTTTTTTTATAGCTAACTAACCCATCTTGTTTCTATTGAACTTGTGAAATATTATTTTATTATTTTCAGAAAATATTAATTTACTTTTACGCAACATGATTCAAACTGCTTGTACTGTATAAGAATATAATATACTTTTAACATAAACCAAATTTTAACTTTAGTTAAAACAATTACATTGTCTTGTGTGAAAGGACCTGAAGCAATAGTGTTCAGGAGTTGTGTTTTCCTGGATCTGGAGTAATATAAATTTTCCCATGCTTTCGCGTTTTTTTTTTTTTGCTTTTTGAAAACTTTGTAGCTCCGCGTCTCTACTTATGGGTGTTCCTGGAATTCTTGTCTACTCTAAACTTGTAACAATAGTTTTAGAATTACTTCTTTTATAATCAGGCTAATTAATCTCAACTTTATATGATACATATATGTTAATGTGTTTTGTTAGACTTTCTTTGTGTGCTAAAAAAGTATATTTTCTTACTTTTCAGAAACAAATTATTTATGCTGCAGTCCAAGTCAAATTTCGCAACTTAAGAATAATTTAGAAATAGCAGCAACTCTAGGACTAAGTCGCTGCCCATCCTGTTTAGTTAATTTTAAGAAAAACTTCTGTCAGTTTGCCTGCTCCCCATCACAAAGTGAGTTTTTGAAGGTCGAAAGATATGGCAAAAGTGATGAAGATGATTTAGTCATTGAAAGCATCACCTATTACATGTCAAAAACGTAAGAATAGTTTAAACTAATTTTATTTTTCATGCCTACATTTCTTTTTATTTAACTTAAAAGTCAATGTTACAATGAGTCATTAAGATAATCAAGCCCATGTAATATGCAAGCTTTTGTTTGCCTTTAAAAAATTATTTATCATTAGAATAACTTTTAAATTTTTTGGCAGGCCTGTTCATTCTTTTATATTTGAGTAATTACATTTGAGTGATACAATCAAATATAAAATTTCATTAAAGTTGTTTTATATTATAATTCATGTGAAACTTACTGAAATGTACAGAACTATTTAAAAAGTTTTACTGATAATTTAATTGTTAACACTAGAAGTACCGCTGGGGTCATTTTGATTTTTTTTTTTTTTTTTTTTTTTTTTTTTTTTTTTTTTTTTTTTTTTGAATTTTTTACTTATATTACTTTTGAAGATACGTGTGAGTTTTCGAAGCTCATATTTTTTATTTTTCCTGAATTGTTTCAAAGTATACTGTATCAAAATTTCATGCCTTTCTGTTGATTACTAAAATAAATAATTACAGAAATACCTAAAATAGCCAAAAGGGATCATTTTGGCCCCTGTAAAAAGAACTTTTATTTTTAAAGTTTTATGACTGTTTTTGACACCAATTTCTGGTCAATGAGGGTCAAATTGAACCCAAATGGTGATTTTTAGCTAAGTTCAAAATCCGACTGTTCTAGTGTTAATCAGTTAAATATCTTTATTTGAATATTTGTGGAAATGTTTGTGTGTGTTATTAAAAACATGCACATAAAATAAAATGTGCCATTTTTTTATCCTGTAGATTCTCGATTCACCTGGATGCTTCTGAAATGAAGTTAATAAAGAAATATTTTTTAAAAAAAAATCACATTTATGCAAATTTTAATGAACCTTTTTCAAAAAATTCTAGAATATGTAAAATTGTTATGTGATTAGACTTTAATAATTTAATTAAAGTTTCAATGTTATACAAGGATTCAAGTAACTCTCTGTTTATTCAAACATAAAACCATAACTTAATCTAAATCTTCATAACCATAATCCTATTCCTGCTAATTGAGAGTAAACTGAATTACTTAAAATTCCATAAGAAAATTGGGTCTGACTTAAACAGATATGTTTAACTCAGACAAGATTAAACTTAGAATGTTATTTTTACAAGATTTTCTGCTCTATTTGGATGTTAACTACTGAGTAAAAATTGTCATATTGCACTGATATTGTAATAGCTTCACATAATTTATAAACAAAATTAGGTTTTCTATTTTTATGCACATTTTTTTATTTCAGTTAGATTTTTCTTACTCCAAGCAAGAAAGGCAAAACATTTTTTTAAAAAATGAGTAAAGGGAATTAAAACTAATGAGTAAGAGGTAAAATTGTATAGCTTTGAAATTAGTTTTATGGAAGACTGCTCTGAATAACATGTTAAAGGCCCCTATTAATCGGAAGTGAGTGTTTTGAGATTATGGGGCATGTTTTAATATCACTGTTCATAGTTTTTAATGTATATCACATTAACTACACCTTATAAAAAAAAAATTTTTTCCATGCTCACTATAAGTTACTGGAAATCAGGAATCAGAATTCTTAAAACAATTCTATTTGTTTTAGGAAGGGAGAAATTAATACTGGAGTTTTAAAAAAAATTAATTATTTAGGAATTGTGATTTTTGAAATCAAAGTAAAGTTTTTATATTCAAATTTGTCTAATGTCAATCTTAGATGGAAAATATTGCTGTAAATTTAAACTTAGTTGATATTTATGGACGTTTTGTATTTTATTTCCCTTTATTCGTAATAAAATTGACTGAAATTCCCTATATGTGATAATTTATATAGTGTGCACTATGCAGTAATATGCATAGACCTTTTTCTTTCATAAAATCTATTAGAATTTTTTTATTAACTGTAAGTGTGGTTATTTTTTCTCTGTAGGTATGCCTATGGAATGTTTGGTAGCTGTCGAAATATTCAAGGTTTAACTCCAGGTTCAACAGTATTAGACTTGATGTGTGGTAGTCATGGAAGAGATTGTACTCCTGAGAGTTGGCTCGGTTTTATGGGTTCAACTCCTGATGACAATGGGTTCAGTCCTTTCCAAATCAATTATGTTCTTACAACAGAAAATCATGTAACAATTGATGGGAAAGTATTTACACCAATGAATGAATCCACTACCTCGTAAGTAATTCTATTATTATGTATTAAGTGTGTAGTGTTTTATATCGCTTAATTTTTTTTAAAACAAATTTTGTAGCTTTATTATTAGTTTTTTTTCTTCAAATTTTTTGATTATTATGTAATTAAAAATTTTTTTTTATTTTTGTTAATACAAAAATGAAACATTTCTTTCCATACTTAGAAAAATCTTCTGAACTATTTTGAATTGAACTTTGAAAATTGTGATTGAACTGCTCTTTACTGAATTGTAATTCTACATATAAATATTTATTTACTGTAACTCAGTAAATATCAAAATTTTATGAAGTCTGTTTTGCATACAACAATGAAAACTCTATGCTGTGGTCAATATTGTCATTATTAAATATGTATAACGACTTAAAACTAAGCATCTTGGCAGATGAGTAAAATGAGCTTGTTGTATATAGTAAGTTATCCAGCAATACTGCAATCTTACTCAAAATGTGTGAAATTTCCCCCCAAAAGATTTTGTAACTATGTCTAAAGCCTGTAAAAAAACTTTTTTTTTTAATAAAAAGGCAATGTGTTAAATTTTTCCCTATAATCCTGGCAGCGGGAGTATAAGACAAAAAAAATAATAATAATTTTCTTTCTTTATTTTTGAGTTTAAAAATATTGATCTTTATTTGAATATAATCTAATATTTGTTTAAACTTTCTGCAGATGTGCTGAGAGTCCATATCCTGGAGCTGAAACTTGTACTTGCTTAGATTGTGAAGAAGCTTGCCAACTTAACATGGCTTCTCCTAAACCATTGCCTGCTGAAGAGAAACCATTCATGTTGTTGCATCATGACGGAATTTCAGTTTTGTGCCTGATAGTTTTTTGTGTAGTTTCCGCGACCCTTCTTTTAGGGTTTTTCTATTTCAAAGTGCAGTCTAGAAAATCTTTGCGTTGTAAGTTCTACTTCATGGTAACTTATTTTGTTATTGTCTAATGCATTTCTATTGTATTTTCTTTATTAGAAGGTAAATTTTAGTTTTAATTTAGACTTCTTGTGAGAATGCTTGGTATGTGAAAATGAAAATGAATTTTTGAAAAAGATTTATGAATTAGTTTTAAGTCACAGATTCACAAAATATTTTTGAAAATTGCATGTATTATAAATAATAAATTAGATGCAGGATGAATCATTTTTCATCCATATATATATATATATAGTAGATCATTTTTGTAGAATGCAAGTATTTGTAGTGGAATTCTTCACCCAATAACATATGCATTTGATGTGTGTATTTAAAGCCAAATGAGAGCATTTTTAANTTTTTTTTTTTTTTTTTTAATATTTTTGTTTTCATGAAATTATTATAAGTGGAAATTTTAAACTTGTGTATTGAATGTTTTAAAAGCAATAATACAAATTTAAACTTAACTCTTTACTGTGAATCTCATCTTAATGAAGCACAATTGCTTTCCCTTGCATAAAATCAATTTGTGTGAAATTTTTGTGAAAATTCGTTAAATTAGTGAAGTAGTTAATGGGTGAAACAATAAACTGCGAAAATGCTGTTACTCTCTGATGTACTTTCATCAAAAAAATGTTTCGGAATCAACATCTTCTGTAACAAGAGACAAAATAAAAGCTCATTGCTAGCTAGTGGAGTTACCAGACAACAAATTTGGCAATGAAATAATTAACTATAAATACAATAATCCATTAAAAAAAATCATGATCAGTGATATGATGTATGTGAACAGAAACTCAAAAGTTGTCAGTGTGTAACAGCAATGTAACAGTAACAAAATAACATTATTGGCTTTTATGCACACAAGTATATTTATGTATCTAAACATTTGTACAGGACTTAATAGTAATCTTAAACAGAGTGTGTGGCATTTTTAAAAAGTGCTTAAACGTGCTTATTTTTGATTGATGTTTTTTACAAGCCCTTAAAGGTGCTTTTTTTATACGGAGTTTCTAAAAAGTGCTTAATTTTCTATCCTTTAAAATAAGATTTTTTTCGCTGTGTCGATTGTCGTTCTAAATTAGAAAAAATGCGTAATTTTCACAATTTTCTCTGCAATATTTATCAAAACCTAGTTATTTTATCGTGATTATGTAAAGTTTTTGAAAATGTTGTTGAATTTTATTGATTTTATTTTTATAAATTAAGAATTTTAAGCGATAGGAAAGAAAGATTTTTATTACTGTACAGATCTTAATGTTTTTTTTTTTTTTTTTGGAAAGTGATTAAAAATATTTTTTCAGTGCTTAAAAAGTATTTAAAAGGTGCTTATTTTTTGTTGAAAAATCTGGCTACGCACTCCGTTAAAGAAGAAATCGTAAATCGCAGACTATTTACTAATAAAATAAGTGTAAATGATTCTGTTAAACATTGCTGTATATGGCTTCTCCAGCAATTTAGATGCATACTAGAAAGAAGCAAAAAAAAATTATCTAAAGAGAAACCTCAACAGTAACAATTTGGTGTGTAATATGGTATATTTGTGCTTTTTCTTCATGACGATTCATCAAATGGTATTACTTATATTGGGTTAAACCAATTGTGCACACTGTTTCTCAAAGATTTCCCCACAGTTGAGAGAGATTTTTCTTTTTGTATAAATATTTTAATGATTATTTTCTTAGACTTTTTTTTTAATGGAATATGAGATTCCGGAGGCCTCAAACTCAAAATAAAAAGTTCAGCATCAATTAAAAAAATTTAAAAGTAAGTTTTGAAATTAACAGTTTAAAAATAACTGTTCTGATTATTAATTATACAGAATAACTTGTACTTATCTTTCTAACTTAGATGAGAAATAGCACTTATTTTAAATAAGTTCTGACTTAAGTTTAGTTATACCTTCAATCTGAAAAACTAAATGCCTTATAGGAATAATATTTGCAAAATTAGTTTAGCATGAATTATTTTTAATAATTTTATTTATTTTAAATCTAATATGATTGTATTAGTTTATATGCCATACATATGCTTATTTTTAAAAATTAATGTGCATAGTTTATTAAAACTGATTCAGATAATGTTTTAAAATCATTTGAATTAATTTATAATCTTCATTATAAATAGTATTTATATTTAAACTATAGTATGTTTTTACTAAACTATAATTTCTTGGTTAAATGTTAAACAGAAATCGTTCATGAGTGGAATTGTTTATTTTAGAATGTTTACTATTTTGTTTAGTATCATTTACTTTTATAATACTTTAAAAATACTTTTTTAAACTATTTAACTGTTTTATGTATCAATTACATAAAATCTAGTTCTATTTAATGTTTGACTCTGCTCTTAAAATAGTTGATAGCCTGCTCGCCAAATGTCTTAAGCATTTTTAATTCATAAATTTTGATTACTTGTAAATGTCAGTTCTATAAATTTATTCTTTAAAACCATTTTTTAGAAAAGTATTTTAATTTTGCATTTTAGGTTTCACAATGTATTTCTTTCTATTAAGTGTCAGATTAAATGTTTACTTCAACTGTTGCAGTTCTTGAAAAGAATTTGAGCATTGTTGCTCTTAATTCAAATAGGTTATTGACTCGGAATAAATCTTTTAAATTTTGGCTGAATGTGAGAGTGCAAGATACAGAAGTCTGTAATATTTTACCTATAACAGTGTAAATTGTAATAGTTTTTTTTGTAAAAAAGACAAATTTACTGCAGTGATTAATACACAATGCTTTATCTTGATATAATATTTAACTATATTTCACTGTATCCTTATTTAATTTCTTTTATCTAGAAACATGCTTTCAATTATCTTTTTCGAATACTTTTTTTTCTTATTTGTAGTTCTGCTGTGGGTAGTGTTTTCTTTTAGTAGTTGTAGTAGTTGTGGTTGCTTATTTAACCCTTTTCCTATGTTTGCTGTAGTGTTACACCTAAAAGTACTATCCTGTTTATTTTATTGCTGAATAATATGCATGGTTTCCTTATGTTTAACAATACTAATTATGGCTTTCAAAATTTGATTATCTTGGCTGTTGTAATTGATGTAATTACATAAATTTTTTATATATTTTGCTTTTAACTCTTTGTATGTACATTTCTGCTCAAATTTTTAATAACATTGATTATTTGCCATTAAAAAGAACACTGTCTAACAGTGGTTATGGGAAATGTTTTAAACACACACACACACAAAAAAAAAGAAAAGAAACAACGTTATCTTACTCTGAGCTGAAAAAAGTAATAACTTTAATATCAAGAATTTATTTCAATGTGAATGTAAATGAAAAAGTAATTAAGTTTTACATCTGATTTGCAAATCGACTACATCCTCAATATCTTAAATCCAAATCAAATTTTTAGAAAAATAGTGATAAAATTAGTACGGTTTAGATAAATTTTAAAAGCAAATAAACTTCTTGTAACAAAAGAATTTTGCTTGAATTCGTTGCTTTTAAAAATGTGTGTTCAATATTTTTGAAAAATAGCCGTAATAGTCTTATGAATATGTATAAAGATATTTTAATTTGTGGTAAAATTTATAGAAAAATTTAATTTGTTATTCAAAATCTGTAAAAAAATATATTATATTTTAACATTTGAAAGTCAATTGTGCTTTAGCAAAACAAAATATATTTGAAAATATGTCTCAAGTTTGACTTATGTTAGTAACAATAAAAACAAGGTCAACTTAGATTAATTTCAATAAGTAAAGAGCACCTCTATTGAATAAGGTCATAGCCTTGCATATGTTGCTAAAACTAAAAAGCTTTTAAAAATGCATAGGTTTTCCCTTGACTTTTAATGTTTTTAAATTATAGAATTACTTATAATTAGCCTTTAAACTTATTGACTGTTTTACCACCTAAGTACTTTTACTGTGAGAGAAAAAAAGTTGTGTAATTGGTGATTCAACTGTGATTTTAACTTCCTTAAAAATAAGAAGTGGATTTGGTTCCATTTTAACAATTTTATGATATTTGAGATCCTATTTGGTAATATTTTAGTTTGATAGCTGTAAAAAATAATTAGAAACTTTAACTTTGACAGAAATGAAAATAATTTTTTTTTATTGATAAGTGGATTTAAAATACCAAAGTTATAATTTCTTTTATAATTTTTGCAAAGTTTGGATCAGATTTTTAAAAATCTTTATTTTATACTGAAAATAATTACATAATTTGTAATATATTTATTTTAATCTTGTTTTCTCTCAATAATTGGTTTGGTTATTTTTTTAAATTCTTAAAATACTAAAATAAATTTTTTGGACGTAAAATTTCAACTATATATGCCAAAATGTAAGGATTTTACACATTTTTTAAAATGCATACAATACAATAAAATACATACAATAAAAGATTTTTACAAACATATGCACAACTTTTACAGAAGCAAAGAGGAAGAAAAGCGAAGTGAATTGTGATTAAAAATAGAGCAGCCAAGAGTGTGTTTTTAAAATTTTGTTAGCCATTGCAATTAACAATTTTTTATTGCTTTCCTTAGAATTTTACCTTCACCTATTGATTAACAAAAAAAAAATATGTGTAACCCGACACTGTGCATTCCTGCTTCTTAATGTCTAGCTGGGAATTGTTTTCTTGTTCATTAGTTTTATTGCATTTCTGTTATAAGCAAAGCTATTTCTGAGGTGAGAGTTGTCAATGCATGGAAACAGTTTTGAGCTCCTGCTTTTTTATGTGTCGACAGAGAAATATCTTTGATGGAAGAAAAGAAAAAAAGCAGTGTGTATTAAACACTGCAAATCATGTCAATGCTCAAAACTTTGATGTAACTAGAATTACCCCTAGCAGGTGATACAGATGTTAAGATGGAAAGAAAAGGATCTTCACATCGGCCTTTGATTCTATTGAAATCATGTTCTCCCTCTGCATCAGGGGTAGACTTAGGTTCTTTAGAGGAAGTGGAGCCTCTGCGTTCTAAACGGTCAAGTACGTCTCACTAACATTGCTGCTGTGAAATTACTTTTTGCACAAACTAATGCTCTCCATCTTTACTAATAACTAATTCAAAGATAACACTGTTCCTTTTAAAGTTTAAATATGTGATGCCCATTAATAATCCATAATTCAAAACTAACTCTTTTAACAGGTTGAGTGCCATTGTGGACAATGTTATATTCTTTGGTTGTGGTGATTAAAAAAAAAGAAAGAAAAAGACTTTGTGAAATAAACTCAAATTTGTTAGACAAGTAAAAGGCATATCTAGATATGACAAATGGGGAGAATCCACTATTTCTCATGCAATGTTCATTGTAGGCGTACAGCTTTAGCTGTGTCTTAACACTGTTGGCTTATGTTTTTATTATCTTTGCAATGATCTAATTTCCTTAATTCACATTTTGGCTGCATATCATGGTCTATGCGATGTCCCAAGTAGCGGAATTTGAGTAGTGAATCTGCTGCATTAATATTCATTAATCCAAATTTGTCTGCGACCACAGTGCATTCAGACAGATATAGCAGAATTTATGTGGTGAATCTGCTAAATACAAAGTAACTGAATTTAAGTAGTGAATCTGCTGAATATAAAGTAGTGAATCTGCTGTACTATTTTCATTAGTCCAAATTTGTCTGCGACCGCAGTGCAGTCAGGCATAGAGCAAAATTTAAGTAGTGAATCTGCTGCACTATTTTCATAAATCCAAGTTTATTTGCGACCACAATGCAGTCAGACACAGATTATTATTGTAAAAATTCAGCTTAATCCTACATACATGAAGCAAAATCTGCAAATATTACAAGAAAAAATAAAAAAAAAATAGCTGCTTAAAAATCATACATAAAAACTTTGAATTATTTAAACTTTAAGCTGAATTTAATACAATGATACTAAAAAATTTGAATAAATTCCTGTATAGTTACTCCTGTATTCGAGTAACAAGGAAAAATTTTTTTTTTACTTTTTGTTCTTGATGATTTTCTCCAAATTCAGTTTTCTAATTTTTATTCCAAAAAATTTTTGAGATGTTTTAAAAAGAAGTTTCAGCAACCATTCCACATTTGTTTGCTTTTTAAAAATAAAAATAATGAAAATTATCTCCAAATGCTGTAATAATCTGCAGTGCCCACTGCCATGCTGGAGTGTTTTCTCTACCGGGGTGATCTGATAATCATTGAAATTTCTAAGAATACAAATCAATATTTGACTTTAAAAATGGAGACCTGGTATAAGCCATTTACGGACCAATATGCTTAGCCTAAAAAGTTAGCATTTTTCCTAATACTGAAAAAAAATTATTTTGTAGAAAAAATAAGTGTGAAGTTTTTAAATATTTCCAAGATTTAAGCTTATAAAATATTTCCTTAACAGCCCATTGTAGGCCCTAGTAGTCATGAGAGTTGAGGTTCCTCAATTTTGTGATGGTGGAAATGTTGCCAGCATTGTGCACTATCTACTTTTAAGCGTAGGGTGTCTATCGATCTGAAAATGGTGGGCTTCAGCCTCCTCTAGGGGTACAAACACAGTACTTCACTATGTTCAGTGCCATGACTGTTTATATTTAAATGTCTTAGATTATTTTTTAAATAGATTTATAAATTCGTTGTATTTTTTTTTAAAAACCAATACTTGAGTCTTGAGTGATTGCCTTAAAAAGGACATTTACGATTTTTTCTTGGCACTCGACTTGTTAATTTACTAAAAACTTTTGCTAATGTTTTTTATTTTCACCTATTTACATTTTACATTCTTTGTTATTCTTTAAAGCATCAAGTGATGAAGAGCATTTGTTTATTGTTGGCTAATGTTTTATTACTTTTTAATTCCAAAACTAATACATCTTTCTATTGTCTATGGAAGTGGTCACTGGGATATGGATTGTACTACAACTACTGCCTAAATTGTCTAAAAAAATCGTAATTAACGCTTTTTTTTCATTATGATTTTTTTAAAAAATATACCATTAGTATTATTTGAGGTAATTAAAATTGAAAAACTAAAATGTTATTTGTTGTGTCCACTCTCATACTTCGCCCTGGCATAGATTAAATAAAAATTGGTTTCGATTAACCAGCCAGTTTTTTTTTTTTTTTTCTTTTGGGTTTTTGTATTGTAAAATTCGTGGATGTGACTTTGAATTATAGTTTTACACTGATTAAAATTTAATATAATAAAAAATTTGTTACTAATTTCTTTCAAAATCTTTTTAAAACTTAATAATCATGTAATTCACTTTTAACCAAAGTTTAATGAGTTGTATCAGGATATACTCAGATAAAATAAGATATTCTTTATTTACTTATTTTGTGGTTATAGAAAATTATTGTTCTTTTTATGCTATTATTTAATTTTATAATGTAACTGTTATTTAAATCACAGAGAATTATTTTCTTAGTTTAAAAATAGTGTAGTTTATACAAGGCTTATCAAGTTCATCACTATTTTAGTTTTGTTCATATAATGTCTTTAACTATTTTGTATACTCTAATATTTTTTAAGCATCAAGACTAAATCAAATTCTATACACATTTTTTGAAAAAATATTTTTTTAGAGAACTGCAATTCAATGTAACCAATTATAAATATATATATACATATATATTTTACTTTACTTACTTTTAATTACTTTTTTCTTATAAACTTATTTTTTTACTAATATTTCGAAAGGTGATACTCCCAAAAGCAATTCTAAATCTATATATTGTCATATAATTATCTTCCACTATATTCTTTGAGTAATACAGTAGTAAGTATTAGTTATATTTGTTTTCTGGGATAGCTAATTGTATATGGAGATTTTATTATAAACTTGTAAAACATCTAAACCTTTTTAAGTTACTAAATCGTAAAGATAAGAATGTAAAATTTATTTTGAATTTGTAGTTATACCTAGTCAAGTTGTGGAAAAACCTGAAGACCTAACAGATTCTAAGAAACCTAGCAATGAAAACACTCATCAGGTACCTGAGACTGAAATTATATCAGATATCTCATTCCTACAAAAACTGGGTGCATCTATTGAAAGACACTTAGAGGAAAGTTTCTGTGAATGGGGAACTTACGTAGCAGAGCGTCCACTTTCTGTCATGTGCCTTTCATTACTTGTTAGCTTTATTTTGGCTTCTGGTCTTTTGTTCCGTTTTTCAGTCACAACCGATCCTGTTGATCTGTGGGTCTCGAGAAGCAGCCAGGCCAGACAAGATATGGAATATTTTAACAAACATTTTGAGTAAGTAATACTAAAACCATTTTTGTGTTGTTGTTTTTTATTAAATTTTTATTTGTAACAGATAGACTTTGAAGGGAACACTTTTGAATGAATTTCTTCTAAAACAAATCTGTTACTTTACACCCATGGGTAAAATCTGTTTTTGATTAGGGAAATCAAAAAATGTTAAAAAAATTTTCAGTAGCCTTGCAGTAAATAGATAAAATTCCCATAACACCCCACAGCATCCCCTTCTTAGAGGTATCAATGATAAAGCAGTTTCTTTTAAACTGTGAATTATTTTATCAAAATTTCCCTAGACACTTCAGAGTGTATTTGCAGAAGTTGAGTTAAAAAATATTAGTAAAGCAAAAATTCAGTTAAAGTATAGATGAGACAACACATAATATTTTACATGCTAAATGTCTAACTCTTGTTAATAAAATAAAACAGTGAGGGGAAAAAAATTGTAAATGCTGCATGTGGAACAGTTTTTAATTCATATAAGTTAGTTTGGGTACAGTACTTAATAAAGTATGTTAAGCAATGGATAAAAAAAATAGGAGAGCTCTAATTAAGAACTTTCATTGAATCATAATGTAAATAGTAAATTATGTACAATTGAAGATTTAAAGTCACATGGAAAACAAATATTAAAAAGTTTCTTTTTCATTTGCTAACAATCAATGGATCTTTTTGAAAAAGTATTTAGAGCAGGGCTCGAAAAAACTCAGAAATTTTACCCGTCCCCGAGGACGGCTTGTCCAACGATGTGCCCGTCCTCCTTTGAAACTAACCCGTAGCTTCTAAATAAATAAAACAGGGTTGCCACTCCGCAGGGAAAACCTGGAAAATACAGGGAATTTAAAAATCACCTAAAATAACAGGGAAAATGCAGGGAATTTTGATTTTTTTTCTTTACAAACTGGGAAAATACAGGGAATTTTGTTTTTTTATTTTGGTCTTTTAAAAAATGGTGCGTAATCTATGGGATATTTAACCATGATATTTCAGCTATACTAAACTATTTCATTTACCATAGCATTATTTAAGTATGCTCAGCTGTTTTCCGAGCAATTGAGACTAATAATTATAGTTAGCCCAATATAGCTCACACAAGAGCACAGTAATTGTTGTTTCCTCTTAATATATTGCGTATAACATGTACAGGGAAAACACAGGGAATTTTTTTCCAGATTTGAGTGGCAACCCTGTAAAAATATAATTTTCTGTTATTTATTACAAACATTTATATGAATTGCACAATGAATTAGTAGTTACTAGGATTACAAATACTAGGATTACGTTATACAGTAATGAAAGAAATACTAGATTACTAATAGCAACCTAGTACTTCTTTTATGAAATAATTTATTTCTTTTTATGAAATAATTTAAATGACAAAGGTCAAGTTATCTGGAATGTCAATTTATCCGAGGGTACTGCGTTTTTTAAACGAAACAAATATGACGTTTGCCAGTTCCACAATCAAGCCAATGATTTACAGAGGCTTCTGCACAGAAATCTGAAAGAGGTTTTCAATTTAGGTAGATGTTAATAATTGCGTTTAACGCTTCTTGTTTATGACCAGAACGTAATGAGTGTGTGTGTTTTTTTTGTTGTAAGTAATTACTGAAAAGCCCCTTTCAACGTCTGCAGTGCTCCCAGACAGAGAAAACATCAATTCTAATAACAAAAATTGAAAATGTATCGGGAAAATCCCGCGTCCGCGCGGCCGTCGGATTCGAGAAATTCATTGTCTGCGGGAAATTTTTGACCTCCGAGGACGGGTGGTTTTTCGAGCCCTGATTTAGAGTGTTTATTTAATTTGTTTATGTGTATTAGGTGTATAATTTTAATGATATTTCATATAAATAGAATGAAAAAATTGAGGTGTATGAGTTAATTATTTTTAGAATCCATCCAAATTTAAATTATTGTTGTTTTTAAAAGTGTATTCACCAGCTGATTGTAAAAAATGCATTAATTTGTTTTTGTTTCAGACCATTTTATCGAGTGGAACAGATGATCATTACTCCAAAGAACAAGACTTCATTTGTTCAGAGTATTAAGGAAAAGACTGGAGTAAATACGTACACCTGGGGTTCAGTTTTTCACCGTGATTTTCTTTTAGAGGTAATATTCTTATTTTCCAACTAATAAATACTTATTCAATTTAAATTAATAAAATGCTAGAGCTATAAAATTGTCTATTTATTCCTTTACGTTTCTATTAAATTTGTATGGTGTAGTCTTTACATTTTACGAAACTCTTAAATTTTTTAGAAATATTTCTTTCCCTACTATGTGATATTTTTGAATTAAAATATTTTAACAGTAAATGGTTACACAGCAAGCTGATGATTATCCATGATAGTGGGTAAGACAGAGACCACGCTGACTATCTATTGAAATGTCTGTTACTTCCAGTCTCTTTGTTTAACAGAGCTCCCACAGGTCAGGGAGAACATGGAAAACTTGGAATTGTCAGAGAATTGTATTTTAACTCTAAAACGCAGGGAATTGTCAGGTGAAAAATGCAATTTTTTACATAAAACTTGGAAAACTCCTATATTATATTTCGTGGGAAATAACCAGTTTTAGAATTGTCAGTAACAGTAATCGGTTATTGAAATTAGAGCTAAATAGTCCTAACATCTATAGTAGTTATTTTATAAAGTTTTACGTCTTAGTGAAACTTTTCCATGTTTCTATTCTCATTCTATTATATGTTTTTGCTCACCAAATCTAATATTTCACAATACAAATAAGAAAATGTCAAAGTTTTCTGATGAAAAATTGCATGATCTAAATAAAATATGGTATGGATTTTCAATGGAATGTACTTGGAAAAGTTAAAGAATTTTTTTTTTTCTGAAATAGTGTGGGAACCATGTTTTTTTTTTTTTTTTTTTTTTTTTTTTTTTNTTTTTTTTTTAACGCTCATTGTGATGCCATTATAGGCATTACATATTTTCTAGCTTTTAAAATTTCTTTTATTTCATAAATTTGATTTTTTTTAATCATTCTTAATCCAATTATAATTAAATTAAAGCAATTATTTAATGGTTATCATATTTTACAGGAAATGAATCTGAATATTTTATTCTTTTCTTAACAATCAATGTTCTTAATTCTTTACTTATTAGAAAGTTTAAAATCTGTAAAATTATACTAGTTTATGTAGCATTAAATAGCATGTTTTTTTTTTATTAATTAGGTACTTGATTTACAATTGTCTGCAGAACAGTTGGTTGCAACTGTTGAAAATAGAACAATAACTCTTAAAGACATATGCCATGCTCCTCTAGCACCTTTAAATACTAACTGTGCTGTTCAAAGTATCTTTGGGTACTATCAAAATCAACGAGAACTGTTAGCAGACACCAACTTTGATTATTTAGGTCATTTTAAAGAATGTGCTGGGTAAGTATATTGCATGTTGCAAAAAACTTAAATAAAACTATACTTTTTTTTGGAAATTGTAGCTCTATTTTTAATTTTTCAGCTCTATGGGAGAAATTAAATGTTTTGCACCCTATGGAGGCCCCTTGCAATCCACTGAAGTAGCATTAGGTGGTTTTCAAAATTCTGAATATTACTCAGCTACTGCCTTGATCATTACAATTCCAGTTACTAATCATTATGATAACAAACTTAACAGAGATGCATTAGAGTGGGAAAAAGTGTAAGTTTTTTTTTTCTTTATGAATTTTCTTAGGAGATCTTAATTAAAATTTAGTTTTCAGCTTGTATTTTTTGTTTTAAATCCTACATTATTTTTAATTGTTCAGTTTTAATTGATCCTGTATTTTAAAATTGAAGTAAATATTGAAACTAAAAAAAATTGAAATGAATTCATTAAATTTCTTGTATTTCTTTTTTCTAAATATTTATTAGTGAAAAATAATACATAATAAAATAATAATATATGACTATCTCTTGTATAAAAATTTAAGAAATGATATTTAATTTTTTGCATATTTGTTTAAACCATATATTTCTATATAACTGAAGTAGAGTAAGATATTCAGGATTTCAGGAAATATTTTTGACACACTACAGTTTAGTTTGATTTTAAAGATTAAACATAATTTTATTTCTTATTTGTTTTCAAAGGAATATTTTCCATTGAATGACTTTCTAAAATTAGTTTTAATATTATACAGTATGTTGAACTTAGACACAAGATCTAATACACAATAAGTGATATCTACATTACACAATAAGGGATGATGTCTAGTTAATCTTTAGATTTAAATATTTAAATTTATTCAATATTCATTTGAAATATGTCAAATATTATTTTATATTTCTTTCTTCTCTATTAGTCCAACTTATGGCTCTACTTTTATACCATTTGGTTTAAAGAAAAGGTTTTAATTGGAAATTTTTTTTCCAAATACTTTTATGACATAATTTCATTTTATTTTTCAGTTTTATAAACTTCTTAAAGGATTATAAATCTGATAATCTGACTATTGCTTTCAAAGCTGAGGTTAGTAAGCAGCAAAACAAATTTAATTATTTATTTTTTTTACCACTGTTGTGTTATTTTACATATCTTTTTAATTCAAATCCATTTTTAGAGATCTGTTGAAGATGAGTTGGAGAGAGGAAGTCACAGTGACATAGTCACAATAGCAATTAGTTACATCATTATGTTTGTCTACATTGCTGTTGCTCTAGGCGAAGTTAATACCTTTAAGAGCATGTTGGTGAGTTATTTTACTTATTAAACAGTAAGATAAAATTAAATATTTAGAAAGAAATATTTTTTAACACAATATTGAATATAGCAGCATTTGAAATTCTGGCTGGTCGACTGGTCCAAGAGATTATTTATAACTGACATTAAACAGCCGATCTAAATTTTGGGTTTACGACTACTAATGTTCAAGTGCCTAGCTTTGTAATTTTGAACCCAATCCAGAAGACAAGGGAACTCCTGGATCAAGTATTGGAAGAAATTTGCCTTTTTGGAGGACTTTTTGATGGAACTAATCCGTATTTGTGTTACATGAAGAAAAACATCACGAGAACCACCCACAGTTGGCCTGATAGCAAGTGGACTCTAACCCATTATCCGTCTACCACTGAGGATATTTCACATCAGCTCTGTGGTCGGTGCAAGCTGAATGCGGAATTCGTATAGACCAGCCATCGCTGGCATTAAAACATAGTTCATCTCAGTGGAAGGCAAACTAAGGTCCAAGAGATTACTAAATCTTCCCTTAAACCCCTATGAAACAATAATCACTAGTCCAGGGGACCATTAATCGGTCTGTTATTAATTATGTAGTGGGCATTACTTTTTAAATATTATTGTTCAATTGTTACATCAATTTGCTCCAATTAATCAACTTTCATAATAAATGGGGTGTTATTATGAAGCAGGAAAATGATTTTAAGCGTTATATAATTACAAATAATATTGAATTGTGACTGGAACATTGATGTCGTTTGTGGACAAGCACATAGTGATGGTGGGGCCACCAACATTCTTTTATAATTTGCATGTATGTAATTTTTCCAATTGTTTAAAGTTTAAATTTTATTTGCAGTAATTTTTAGTAAAATGGCTGCACCATTGTACACGCTGCGCCTGTGAAAAAAATATTAAAAATTTTTCAATTAATATTGCATAGGCTGCAGTTCCAATTTTAGTCACTATTAAGGAAAAATTCACTTCTAAGAACAAATCTTGAAAAGAGGATAGAAGCAGAACACAATGTGCGGATCTTGTGAGTCTAATGACTTAATTGATAAGAACAGCAAGAATCTTATCTTTTTTTTGTTCTCAATGAAAGGAAAAACAATGAAAAAAAAATTAAAAATTAGAAAAATATGCCATTTTCTGAGCAAATTGATATTGGCCCACTATTTTGAATATTTTTGTAAACATTTATTCTTGATTAAATCCACATTGATCTCTGAGTTCTCGTGTAAAGCTCCCCGAGGAATAATATCGCAGGACACATCAAGGCGTATCTATCAGAAATTTCTCTTACTTCTTCATGAAATATTTTTAAATCAAATTGAGTTTTAACAAAAATGTTGATTTTATTTCCATGGAAAACTTGATTTACGTTTTCTTTGTTTTTATGATTTTGAACAGAATTTTGATTTATGTGCACTAATAAGTTTAAATTTTGATTTTTAATCAATTTTAAATGTTACTTTGATTGCAGGTTGATTCAAAGATCTCCTTAGGTTTTGCTGGTGTTTTAATTGTGATTGTTAGTGTTGTTTCTTCCCTTGGAATATTTTCTTTTGCTGGTGTGCCAGCCACATTGATTATAATTGAAGTCATCCCTTTTCTGGTGCTTGCTGTTGGTGTTGACAACATCTTTATTTTAGTACAAGCATATCAGGTATGTTTAAGAAACCCTTTTCCTGTTGCATACTAAGATAGTAAAAAATTATAAGCTTAATTATAAGCTTTATAAGCTGTAAATTTGACTGGTTTCACCATAGATATGATGGTTTAAGATAATTTCTTTTCTTTTTTTTCATTTTAATTAATAAGCTAATGGTTATCAGTTTCTCATCAATATTATCTTTGAAAAAACTCTATGTCTAAAATTGTTGCTCGATTAAAATCATAGGAATGGCACACAATATATTTCTTTTTTATCTGTTTTTGGTTCTCAAATGTTGTGCTCTTTTTTTTTTCTTTTATTATTATTATTACCTAAAATTCCTTTTTTATTTTTGCAATTCAAACTAACAATTTTGTACTCATTGAAATAAAAGAACTGATTTCTATTCTACAAGCATTAACAGGGTGCGTAGCGTTTGTAAAAAGTACTTAAAGGTGCTTTTTGTGAGATTTCGTTTTTAAAAGCTTTTAAAGGTGCTTTTTTCATCTGGCGTTTTTTAAAAGTGCTTTTTTTCACGAATAATTTTTTTTCCTTCAGTGATATCTGGCGGATCCCTGCATTTCACGAAAAATGGGGAGTTTGCTATGTAATCATTCACACGAGCTTCACGTTGTTCCCACGTTATGACTTGCGCATGCGCGCACACTCGAAACTGAAACCCGAGTGCTCCAATTCGGATAGAGTCACATTCTTATTAAATGTTTTTCTTTTTTATTTATAATTTTATTCTTTTTTATTTTATTTTACTTCTTACACTTTTTTGATGTAGGGGGTAAGGGTACTTTTGTTCAGAGTCAAGTTGAATTCACTCGGTGATGTGGGAAAGTACTGATTGTTTCGATTTACGTCCGTTTCTTTTTGAGTTTTTTTTTTTTTTTTTAATGCTAAAATTGTTCATAAAAAGTTTTTGTTTTTCAATAACATCATTGATTCAATATGAATTTTTTGAGTTCTTGAAAATTTTTGTAAAGTGCTTGAAAAGTTTTTAAAAAGTGCTTATTTTTGATTCAAAGATTTGGCTACGCACCCTGATTAAACAAGTAGGTAGAATGGAAATTTTTTTCTTTTTCCTTTATTTAAATTTTTTTATTAGAAAGTTAATAAAAAACGGAGATTCCTTTCTGATCTATCAACTACAGTTTAGAAAAGATATTAACTCATGCTTGGAGGATAAATGTACTTTCAAGCTGTGCACATTAAAAGTAATGAACAAAATATAAAATTCAAATAAAATGTTAAATTCAAATCAGGTGTGTTAATTTTTTTTAAAATTGAAATTTTATAAGCAAATGTTATATTATTTTGACTTTCTCTATTTGTTAAAATAAATTTTTATTGATACTCGATTCAAATATTAGGACAGAGGGAAAGAGTCCTAAATAGCATTGGTTGAATTAAACATTAAAATTGATTAGTCAAGTATTGTGTCATTTTCTCCCCTGAGTTTTGTCACTTAATTCTATTAAACTAAATTTATTGAAATTAAATTGTTTGAATTTAAGTTCATCAAAACTAATATATAAACATAATATAATCTTTTGTAACTTATGTATAAACATATTTTTTTTTATATATCAGTTATTACGATTTATTTAAATGCTAAATTTAGTAAAATCATCTGAGTTAATTGTCATTCTGCTCTTAGCGTGATGAAAGGCAACCAGAGGAAACAGTAACTAAACAAATTGGTCGAGTTGTTGGTCAAGTAGCACCAAGCATGATGTTGTCTAGTCTTTCCATGTCAAGCTGTTTCTTTATTGGTAAGGAAAACTTTATTCATGTTCATTCTCAAAATATTTATAATGCGTTTAAAAATAATGCTTGTAATTTAAAGTTAGTGTGCATTTTTGTTTTGTTTTTATAAATTTTTTTATCTCTTTGATGCAAAAGGTATGTGTTTTAGAAATCTGAAAGAATTACAGAAATATTACCTAAAAAGTGTTATTTTGCTTAATTGTAAAATGCATCAAACTATGCTACATTAAATGGATGAAATATTTCGTAATTTTGGCAGGGCACTATACTCACGTTTGTGAGAACGTGAGTCCAAATCCAGCTGGTGGAAAACTCTCCATGTTGTAAATGGTGCACGTTAAATCTGTTGGGTCACAAACAGATCAATACCTCTGGATTAATACCTCTGAATTAGAGATTGTTCTCTGGTTCAGGTCAAAATTACGACTTGTGGATGATTTAATGAATGGTTGTATCACTATAAACAGGTGTGGTAGAAGTGGAATTCTTGGATATAGATGGTGCCACTGGAAAATAAGAGCAATCACACTCTTTTTGCCTTAGTGGCTGACGGCGACAAAATTTCACATTTTGACAAAATTGTACCGATCAATACAAAAATTTCTCATTGACGATAAAAAATACACTGATTTGTCATTGATAGGTGGGAAAAAAAAAAGAGTTTGCAAATGCTCCATTGAATAATAACCTTAGAAGAAGAACTTGTTAACATGCATTTTAGTGAATACAATAGAGTGCCGAGAATCGAGATCAAATCTGATCTAAATAACGAAAAATTTGGATAAATGGACAACTTTAAGTAACAGCTTTTAAATAATTTCCCTTCTCATTTTTTTCCAACCAATTGGCAATTTTATTTTTTAACAGTCGTTGGACAATTGGCTCACTTTTTTTTGTTTATGACTACAAATGTTCTCCTCTGTAGTCTTGTAATTTTGAACACAATCCAAAAGACAAGGTAACTCTCGGATCAAGTATTGGGAGAAATTTGCCTTTGTGGAGGTCTCTTTGATGGAACTAACCCATATTTGTGTTATGTGAAGAGAAAGACCACGAGAACCTCCCATTGTTAGCCTGATGATCAATGCTTACAATGTTAATTTAGGATAAAAATTAAAAATCAAGTTAGTAATTTTAGTTAATAAAATCTTAATATTCTTTTATTCACTCATTTATCTCTTGATAAAATCACTTTTTAGGCATGTTAAACCTTGTGATGCCACTGCTGATACTATAAATAGTTTGTAAAATAAATTTGTGCTTGGGGTAATATAGTGATAAGCCATATTTTTTCACTTGAAACTGCCTTTTCTATTATTCGGGGACAGGTGCTAACAAGTTTGAAGAATTGCCCCTAAATAGCAGCACAATTAGCCTTAAATTGCGTTCATGGATACCATGATAATTTCCACCAAAAATAGCTTCATTTAATAAGTATTTTACCAATTCCCATCTTTACTATATAAATCCTTTTGCGTAATTTCTGTTTTTCATAGGTTTGTTATGAACCTAGAACAAAATTCAAGGTCTTTCAACAAATCCTGTTTCCTAAATATAGAAATGTTATATAGCAGAATTAGTCTTTTTTATAGTGTTTAATAATAGTTCCCATTTAATGGTACAGCTCCAAGTTGATTGAAATAAAATGTTAATATTTTAATAACTTTTTCTAATAAATCACAAATATTACGTTTATTATTAGTCATTTTTATCAGTTATTTATTAATGTTGTTTTTCTGTAATAAGGCTGTTTTCTCTCTTTAAGAATATATTTATAATTTCAGGGGCCTTGACCGATATGCCGGCTGTAAAATTATTTGCTCTCTATGCTGGAGTAGCTTTGCTAATTAATTTCTTTCTCCAAATGACATGTTTTCTAAGTCTTTTTACTTTGGATGTAATAAGGCAAGAAGTAAGTGAAATTATTTTTTATTTTGAAATTTTTTTAAAATTAATTTTGTTATTGTATAACTGAAGAAACATTCTCTTGATCGGGATTTAGCAGTCTTCCAAATTTACTTTTTCTATCATGCTGTTTAGTCCTTCCTTATATTACAATTTTTTATGCAATTTAAAGGTTAATCTTTCAGTATTTCTTGGAACTGATTACCCAAAAGTTGTCAGATTTTGGGTAATCAGTTTCAGGTTTTATGATTCTATTTTGAATTACAATGCACTCCCGATTATCCGGGTTAATCACCGGGACAGGTCGCACGGACAATCGAAAAACACGGATAATCCGAAAATTCCTTTTTATTAAAGAAAAAATTAATATCAGTACAAAAAATATAAAAATTACTGACATTTGCATGCTGTATAACGTCAAACTAGGAATTTTCCTTTGAACGTTTGCTGTTTAAAAAAATGTGTAATGCGCCATATATGGACACATATTTTTACGAAACCTAGTAATGTCACCGTAATCAAATCCTCCCATATAATCTAATAAAGTTTCCACAATCTATATCAGTTACTATCATCATTATTTGATTTAATAACATAACGATGTCTTCATCCGTCAAATACTGGAAGGCAGGCTCACACTTTGAAACCAATCTTCTAAATTTTCTTCATCAAGAATTTCGAATTTCTTTTGCTTGTTCGAGAATACTGTTATCATATTCTTCTTGAATATCTGAAGAAGATTGTTCATCAAGCAGTATGATCTTTCTCCACAATCGTGATAACGTAGAAGATTTTACCTTTGACCATGCTGCTGATATTTCATTTACTGCAATCCAATAACGAATATTGCTTTCAAAAATTTGGTAGTGTTATGACTTCATGAATCAAATATTTTTAATCTTGAAATTGTTTCGCTTTAAATTTTTTGTGATACTCAGGAATGAGCATGGATAATCCGAGCACGGATAAACGAGAGTGTACTGTACTAATTTTCTAGACTTTTTTCACAGTACAACAGATTCTGGCTCTGTTGTGCTGTGTTTCAGTCCTTTCCATTATTGTGAAGGCCTTATGTTTTAAATTATTTTTTTGTAATCATGGAAACTTGCATTTAAATATGGCCATTTTATTTAAATTTCAATGAGTATTTTATCTGAGTAATTTAGTTCGAAGGATTTATTGTTTAGAAGCACTATTTTACTGTCTTCATATTTTATGTCTTTTTACTTGTTACTTTGATTATTATTATTATTAACAAAAACTGTATTTTGTTTCTAATTTTAGAATCACAGATTGGATCTCTTTTGCTGTATTAGAACAGCGAAACAAGATAAAGTGAATACCAAAGGTGTTCTTTACAAGTTTTTTAAGAATGTCTATGCCCCTTTGTTATTGAATAATTTTTCAAGAGTCCTTGTGGTAAGTTACTTCTACTTTCGTAGTCTATTAATCGCGGTCCATTTCTATTCATAATTTTGTTTTTGCTTAACCCTGGGGTGATAGTGAGCCCAACTAAAAAATCCTGGAAATTTCTTGAGCAAAATCATTCATGACGCGTTTCAAAAAATTTATGTTTTTATGAATTTAAATCATTTATATTTTCAAAATATGAAATTCTAAATAAATTATATGCAGCCTAATTTAAATTCACATTTATTATTCTGCAGAGAAATATTTACAAATGAAGGAGATGCCAAGTATAAATTCTAGTTCTAATATTTTTAAATAAAATATGCAAGAATTTTTATACATTAATGTGATCAATGATTTCTTGAAACTTTTGATCTTGGATTTCCGGATCGCAATTAGCGAATTTTTCGTAACACAATTACATCTATTATCCAAAATAAAATCTTATTATTTATGTATACCAACAAAAAAATAATGTTGTGTGGAGCTGAACAAATTAATATCTTATGTTTTGTTTTTCTTCCTGAAATAAGTGTTTCTTAAACAATTTTCTTATGTCTTTTTTAAAAGGGGACAAAATATACCTATATAAAATTAATTTTTGTCATTTGCTGAATAGTTTTTCTCCCATAAAAGTGAGAATCTTGATAGAGAAATGATGAAAATTCTAGTTTCAGTAAATTTTTATTACTCTGAATGTTGTTTAACTGTAGAGCTTTCAATTCAGAAAACGCTTTGATTCAGAAATCTATTTCCTAATTCTTATTAAACCAGACTAAAATAGCACTGGAAATAGATTAAATGTTTTTATGTTAGATCCTTTAGTTTGCACTAACAAATTTGCTCTGATTTAAATTGGCCTTATTCAGTCTGGATCAGTCTAATTGCTAAATGGAAAAAATTTCTAAGAAATTTGTTTCACTCTTAAATTGAAATAGAGATAAACCAATGCTATACTTGTTTTAACTGGTTTAAAAATGTTTAATTCTATAAATCCACTAAGTGGATTCAGAATTTTATTATTCAAGACTTCTTGTGAGTTAAATTAGCTTATAAAAATTTGTTAGTAAACACTTGAAATCTATTAACTAAACTCAGTGGTGCGACAGCCCATTGAAGGCCAAGGTCTACTGTGCCCATTTCAGTTTTCTTGACCTAGGGTGCAGTAGTAGATGTTCCAGTTGTGTGGCTAACTGAACACAGAATGCCCAATGTTTAGACCCAAACGTGCTTGGTACTCATTTTATCAACCCACTGAAAGACTGAGTCAACCTTGGCCAGTCTTGAGGATTGAACCTAGGACCTGTGACACGAGAGCGTGAAGCACTACCACTCAGCCACCGGGCATCTTAAATCTACACTCTTTGTTTAAAATAAAATTGTAATCTATTTTTGCTGTATTCTTTAAATAATCATAAGGCTTGTTTTTACAGCTAATTGGATTTTTTGGTTGGTTATGCTCATCCGTTGCTGTTTTAAACAAAGTAGATATTGGATTGGACCAAGAATTGGCTATGCCCGAGGTAATATTAAATTTTTATTTTATAATATCCTATGTTTTATCATAATGTCATTACTATAATGTTTATAAGCTTTAATTTCAAAATCTAATTTCTAGGATTCATATATGTTGAATTACTTCCGATATCTGAGTAAATATCTTTCCGTTGGCCCACCTGTTTATTTCGTCATATCAGATGGATACGACTATTCAAACGAAAGTTTACAAAATAGCATTTGTGCTAGTCAAGGCTGTGATGATAACTCAATAATGGTACAGTTGAAGTGGATGGCAGATCGAAGTAACAGGTATAAAAAATAACTGATAAATTTATGTTTCAAAAGTATTTCTCAAATGTCTTAATAAGTATTATATTTTTGTAATGTTTTTATTTCAGGACTTACATTGCATTGAGTCCTGTGAGCTGGCTTGATACTTATTTTGAGTATATGCATAGCCAAAGTTGTTGCTATCACAAAAATAATACTCATTGCCCTGCTGAGTCCAAAACAAAAGAATGCCAGTCCTGTAGCATCCCACGATCTCAGCGACCTGTAGGAGATTTATTTAACAGAAATCTTAAATATTTCTTGCAAGAAACGCCTAGTCAGTTTTGCTCAAAAGGGTAAACATTCTATTTTTGTCATTTTATATAGCTAAAAAGTTAAAGCTCAGGGAAAAATATTGAATATTGACCATTTTAAACTTTATGTGTAATGCTTGTCTTTTATTTTCAAGTGTCAACGCCAAATCAGAAATATTTTATAAAATTTTTTTTAACCTAGATCAGCTTATAACTAACTGAAACATAGAAGCTTGGGTGCCACTTTTCAGTCCTGAGGACTGAAATCAGTCTTGAGAAAAGTCATTGGACTAAAATCCATCAATATCTCTTTTCCATTTGTTTACTTAAACTAATTTCCTTTTTTTTTTCTTCTTGAAAATGAAACATATTTTGTGTTAAAAATAAAAAATAAAATAATTTTTATGAAAACATTATTATTTTTTACAATTATTGCAAAATGATCAAGTAATGATGTCACTCTGCAATAAAAGAATGAGATTTGTACTAATGCTGAATCTGAATCTGCTTAAGTTACTATTCCCCCCCCCCAATGCATTGGCATGTTGGCCAAAGATAAATTCTTTGGCCACATGCAATTCTTTTCCACAGATCGTAATTTTGACCTAAATCAGAGAATGATCGATCTCCAATCCAGTATCCCCAGAGGCATTGATTTGATATGGGAACATGGAACTTTTGCGACTCGACAGGTTTAACGTGCATCAGTCACTTTACTACACGGGGAGTTTTCTGCCGGCAGGGTTCGAACTCTCGGACATGAGCCCAGCGCCCTACTGACCAAGCTATCCTGGCCAGAATTTTTTAATTATAGTGCTAGAATGAAAATTAATGGTGAAGCAAAAAATAAATAGAGATATGAATCATTTCAGAAAAAAGTTAGTGGTTTTATTATTCAGTTATAGGTATAAAAAAATGCACAATTAGCTATTTTTGTTTGCTGAAAGCTAATTAAATGAAGAAAGGAAATTAAAAAAGAAAAAAAAAACTAATTAAGACCATTATCATGGAGAGGTAAATTTTAGGGTCCTTGAGTTATGAATTTCTGAAAATTCCAGTGAAAAATGCTGTAACATATTAATTTGTCAAAAAATAAGTTCAGTCTTGAAATTTTTTTAGAGTGGCACTCAAGATAAGCCAAAAATAATACTTGTAGTGTGTCTACCACTATAATTAAATACCAATTCACTAGTATATAAGACATGTTAACTCACTTCTATCTTGGGATCCCTTTTGATAGATGAAGTTTGACTAGATTCTAGCCACCACATACTAAAATATTGTAAGAAGATACAAGTCTTCAACTACAATGAATTTTTAATAGTTGAGTTTATACTGAATCTTGAAAATATACTTACTGAAATGTAAGAAAAAGAACTACAAATGGAATGAAGAATACTTTTCTCATTCAGAAATAAGATATTAATAATTGAAAAATTGCCGTACTTCTACTCATTATTTTATATTATTTGATGTACAAAATGATTATTACTAGAAATTATGACAGTTTCTATTTTTTCTCATTTAATATTTACATAGGTTTTAAATTTAAAGTAAGGTTTTAAAAAAATGTAGCCATAAACTGGTTTGTAATTTTTGAATTTGTTCAGTATTTAAGAGTGCAGTTTAATTTGGTGTAACCTAGCATTTTTATGGTCTAATGTTGGCTACAAGTTGAATGTACCCTTTTATTTATTTTTGACCTATATTTAATGTTCAAGCTAAAATTATTTAATCTATCTTACCTGAACTGTATTTAATTATTAGTGTTGATCAATAATCTCTCGCATTGCAATATGACTGATATATTTTACAATATAATAGTCATTTTTATTTTTAGTTATACTATTCATTCTTATCATTTTATTTCTCATTTCATAAATTATTATTAATTTTTTATTATATTTTAGCTTTATCTAAATATTTAAACCTATTATTGAATTTTGGCAAATTCATAATCTGCAGAAGGAAAATCACATAAGTTTTTTGAAATTGAGCAACTCTTAAAGTTATTTGTAAGGTTCAAAAAAATTTTAATTCTTTTTTTAGAGGACGAGCTCAATTTGCAGGGGCTGTTGAACTTCATTCAGATAACGGAGTCACTGTCGGTGGTATGAATTTTTCTTTATTATTTCCCACTATATCTCCAAAATTCATGAACTGTCATGTGGTTGAATTATTCATGCATGTATACATCATTAAATGAAGTATATTAAAACTTTTTAAAAGTATTTAAATATGTTTGAGAATTTTTAAATTGTTAGTGTTTTAAAGCATTTTTACTTTTGGCATTCTTTAGATTGAAAAAAAAATATATATATGCAATTATAAATGTGTCCTTATCTTTCTTTATTTTTCTCTGAAAATCATTAAGCTTAAAAATTCCTAAGAGATTGTTTTTTTTATGTGCCTTATTCAGACTATTCTTTCGTAATATTCTGTAAAAGTTTTTTATTTAAAGGATTTACCATTATTTGAAAAAACCCTAAATAGTTAATAATGTGCTATTTTGTGCATGCTATAACTGTTTAGAGTTTGTAATGGTTGTCTCCATTTTTTCTTTCTCTAGCTAAAGATTTCTATACAAAGTGTCAATCGAAAGAGAAGTTGCTAATTTTTAAAAAATAAGAAATGTTTGTGTTTTAATTTTCAACATTTGAAAAGTTGCCATACCACTGTATTGTTTGAACTCATAAAAATGTGTAAAATTTAAGAATTAGTTTTTTTTTTTTTTTTTTTTTTTTTTTTTTTTTTTTTTTTTTTTTTTTTTTTTNTTTTTTTTTTTTTGCTTATTTACTAGTAAAAACTTCAACAAATGGGCAAATTTTTAAATATTAACTCCTTAACAGTATATATTTCAGAATAATGGACCAAAAATTGAATTTTTTTTATTGACTTTAATTTGTTCTTTATATTATTATAGTAGTTAGAAATTGGTTTTTTATTGCAAAAATAAAATTTTAAATGCAATAACTACTGTATTTATTATTTTTAGGTGCACATAAAAAAGGAATGAATATCACACCTTATTCAATTAGAGCAGTTTAAACAAAGTTTTGAAGCTAAATATAATATAACTAGTATAATATAATTTAAAAATGCATGAATGTGATTTTTGATACATAAATTTTACAAATCTTTTACGGTATGGTATATCCCAAAGCACAGTTCTGCACACAAGCCCGTATCACACTCTTTGCCCTCGATTGAAGTCGTAATCGGTGAAAAACTAGGGCGACTAATCTATTAGGAAAATAATGAATTGAGCAGTGTTTTCACTACAGCGCGAGAATCTTGCATATTTTTTTCTTTTCTCGCAATAAAAAATAATAAGCGCGAGAAGTTCGCGCACTCCATTAATCAATTTCAAAATGCGCGAATTTTGGAAAAAATTTCGTCTTTTGCCATTTTGAATAAAATCCGTTTCACTTTTCTTCCTTGATCTTTCATTATTTTGAACATCGGTCCTTGTTATCTAGTTTCCCTAATTACCAGTATTGTTCAGAACCGACGCGAACAGCAGAACACCACCCCCCTCCCGAACCACGGAATCCCTTTCAGAACACATTTCTCTGCAACCACGTGTTCGTCGTAGGTAAGGTTTCTTCATGTAAGACGTTTACATTTTTTGTGCATGAATCTAAGATGGACAAATACATTGTTAAGGCGACATCTTCCACTCCGTAGCGGGCAATTGAAAATGAAACAAATGTCGTTAGAAACAGTCAAAACGAAACAAATACGGATATTTTTCTAAACTAAACTCAATGGCGCGACAGCCCATAGAGGGCCAAGGCCTACTGCGCCCATCTCAGTTTTCTTGACCATGGGCTCTGGGGTGCAGGAGCAGATGTTCCGGTCAGGTGGTCAGCCGAACGCGGAACCCCCAGTGTTTAGTTCCCAAGCATGCTTGGTAATCATTTATTGACCCACTAAAGGGATGAAAGGCTGAGTCAACCTTGCCCGGCCCGAGGATCGAACCAGGGACCTGTGGCAGGACAGCGCGAAGCGCTGCCGCTTAGCCACTGGGCGTCACTGATATTTTTCAGCCAAATAAATATAATAGCTGATGAAAAAGTAGATATAGAACATTTTCCATATGATGATGCAGCAAAAATATTCAATTAGAAGATGTTAAAAATGTATTATAATTGAAGAAATAATTTTTTTCCAAGTCTATTCCTGTTTTTTTAATTTTTAGAGATCTCACTTAACTTTTTGAAATCTCACCCTGTTTTTGAGAAAGGGTGAGAAATTCTCTCCCATTTTTTTTCTGTAATGAAAACACTGAATTAAGTATCCTAAAGTAGAAACAAACCCAGCTCTGGCTTCACAAAATAGAAACGTAAATTTTTCTCCTGCCCAAAGTCAGTTCAGGTATCAACTTTATTGCATATAGTAGTTGCTTGAACTGGATTCTGGCGATGCTGGCAAAGAGTTAAAAATACTTATTACTGATTTTTTAAGTAAACTATTATAAAGTTTGTCTTCTACTTAGAATTTAAGGCACTCAAAATGTGGATTGTTTTTTTTTTTTTACTGGGTGAAATAGTTGGAAAAAGTATCTTTAAGTAGAGTTTAAAAAACAATAAATGATTTTGTGGAAATTTATCTTTTTTAAAAAAAATTATGTTTCTATTTGTTTCAGCAACAAATTTCATGACTTACCACACAATACTGAAAACGTCCAAAGACTTTTATGAAGCCTTACGATGGTCTAGAATAATATCAGAGTGGCTGACTGAAAAAATACAAAACAAAACTTCATCTAGTAATGTTAGAGTATTTCCTTACAGGTTTGTGGAATGATTTCCTTTCTTTATTTTTGTTAAAAATCTTGTTGTTAAATGTCTTGTTATATACTTTTGAGTTTAAAAACATTTTGCTTTGATCGTAACTAGCTTAAATATTTCATGTGTGTTAGTTTAAGCCAACTGAAATTTGCTAAATAAATTTATACATTAAATTCGTTTCTTTTTCAAATTAGGGCACAATTATGCTTTTATTATGTACGATCTTTTTTCTTTGTTATTCAAAAGCGAAACTATGCTATATGTGGAAATTTTTGTACAATTCTTTTTAACAAGTTTGACAGTTGAAGGGTTAATTGCCTGAAAATTGATTAAAACAATTTATTTTTCAACATGTAACACAATTTTATTTGTCGAATATACAATATATATTCAATGAAATTCTGTATTAGAAGAACAGTTATTATATTTCAAGGAGTCAATTTAAATTTGCTAATCATTTTGAAATTTAATAAAAACATTCTTTTTAAGGATTCTTAATATTCAAAAAGTGAGAATACCCAGGGATGTGATTCTTCCGCGCATTCGCAATTTCTGCTTTTTTCGGATTTTTACTGCTAATTTCCGCGGAAATGTTTTTGCTCAAGTTAAAATATTTAATGAGGAATTTAATTTTCCGCGGAGCGAAAGTATTGAAGTCCTCATTCTTCTCTCTGAAGTTTCTCTAAAAATCATTTCCTTGGGATAAAACTGGTTGACCTTTATACAGGGATGAGATTTTTCTGCTTTTGTCTCTCGAATTTCAGCCTTTTTATCAAAAACTCAGATTCTCTAAAAGTTTCGTTTTTTTCTTCTTCTAAATATCCCACTTTTTTTTTTTTGAAAATTCAGTCGTTGAAATAAGATAATTATATTTACTTACGATTTTCAAAGATAAACAGAAAAATCAAACTACGCCCTAGCTGCTAACCCTTCCGTATTTTTGCTTATTTTAGCTATTTTCTCCACTTTTATGCACAGAAAATAAGATTTTACGTATTTTTATCCGTCCGCCGGATAGCTCGTATTTTCGTAATTCAGACATCGCTGCTTCCTGTTTTGTGGAGTGAAAGCAAACGAAAAAAAAAATCGAGGTGGATTTGCGGTTAAAATATTTATTTGCTGGAATTTCATTTTTATTTATTATGTCTGAACAAAAACAATACAAACAAGCCTTTTAGAAATCACAAGTCCAGTCTCTGCAAATATCTCGATTCTCATTCACGCGATTTTAATATCAATCATCGATATTCGTATTTACCTGATTTAAAAGTTGAACGTTGCTATTCTTATTCAGACGATTTAAATATCGTACATTATTATTCTTATTTATGAGATTTAAATCACATGGTTTACAAGTTTAAAAATCGCACTTTTTTTAATCAATTTTTTGATATTCATTCCTGGACTCCCTCTTTTTTACTTTGTGACTACTCTCATCCCTGATAATCTTAGTTTAGAAAATAAAGGAAATTTGTATGTTAAAGTATGGAAAGAAGTAAAAATGCTGATTCATTTTTGTAATACTTATTTGGTTTATTATATTGCTTTCCTAGACATATCTTCACGACTTATTGTGCAAATGAAAATCTTTTGACAGATTTTAAATCATTACATTAAGGAAACTACTCAACAATTTTTTTCTTTCAAATTTGTATTTTTAGCATAAAAATAATGAAGATTAACATAGTGTGGTTTTTTTTCTGTATATTTTTTAAATATGTATCTTTTAATCAATACTTAATTTTTAAAAAAAGTATTAAAAAAGTATTAATATTTCATATCACTTAATGGGTAGAAATTGGGTGTTAAAAACTTTTCAATGTATCAGTATTTTTGTTGATCAACAGCAATTGTCAAAATTTGTAATTATTACTGTAATATTGCAGTTCATATATAAGTTTTTGTTTCTTTAAATTTATATCATTATCAAACTAAAAAAAGAAAATTTTGTACAAAATTTTTTTCCTTGTTCTTAGTATTTTTGTTGACTAACTGGAATTCTTAAAATTAATAATCATTGCTATAATTGAAGAAAAAATAGCTTGCTTGATTAAAAAAATAAGTTTCACTCTAAGCTACATCTAAAGTTAATTAGTTTGAACATGTAAAAAATATTTTGAGTATTAGTTCAATTATTTAAAAAAAATATATGTTTTGCATTTTTTGTGAGTATTGTACAATATGTTATGCTAAAAACATATATTTCTGCTATGAAGGGTGTTAATTGTTAAATATTTGAAAAGCTGTATTTTCAGTTCCTGTTTTTAGTTATTTATAGCTGATGTGAGCCAGATTTAGTGGATGTTCTGTATATGAATCTGAATGATTATGAATGAATCCTTTTCTTCCCTTTTCCCCTGGACCTCCATCTGTTGTGTGCATCAATTTTGAATGATTTGGAAGAATGTTTAAAGTGTGATATCATGTATAAATGTCAATGTGGTATATTTTAATTGATTTCATTTAGAAAAAGCAATTCTGTAAGTAATTAGTAGTTTGAATTAAAATATAACTTGTTGATTTTATAATTAATTTTAAATACTTTTCATTTTAAAATTTTTTAATAATAAAGTAATACAGGAAGAATATTTGTTTAATCAATGAAAAAGTTTCTAATTGTCTAAAATAACACATTGTTATAAAACTTATCTCAATTGAAAAAAGTTAAAAAGTACAGAAAATTGTAAATTATTACAGCAAGCTTTTATTATTTAAATAAAAAGTATTATGCCTGTTACTTGTATTGGAGCATGAAAGTCTAATAGTATTAATGAAGCATAATCTGAAAATATTTAGTTGTAATTAAGAACTTGGGGAAAAATGAAAGAAATTATCTTGGAATGTAACCATCCTATTATTTACTCAACCAATGTTTTTTTTTAATGATACTGAGATTTAAAAGGTTAAATTTATTATGTATTTTTCATTTCGAAATCATGTTCTAAATTTTAAACTAAATAGGGAGGTTATTTCAAATTTTTTTTTGTTGTGCAATATGTCTGGCAAAAATCATTCATATTTTTTATATATTTGGTTATTAATTTGAAAATATTTTGGGTTTTCTATCATTTGCATATCTATAATGAATTTCATAATAAAAGGATTTTCAATACTCATTTTTATCCATAATTTAAAAAGGCAATTTTCTGTGTAAATGAATGCTATTTTTAGCAATTATAAATTACTTAATGTTTATTATTTAAAACTTAAAGAAAATAATTTTCATTTAAAAAATGTCCATATAAATTTTTTGAACATTGTTAATAATTTTTCCTTTATTTTATTTTTTAAATTTAACTGTTGTGTAAATAATAGTGATAATAAAAAATGACTATTCCAGAATTTTAAATTTTAATACTTGAGTAGTTTATAATTAAGTTTAATTTTATCATGAACATTATTTTAAATTTTGAAGAAAGTTAACTGTATGACAGCTGTAAAATTTTAAAATAACAATATGTTAAAAGCTGAAACACATTTTTATTATTTTATCCTCATTATGGTGAAAAACAAAGTGTAATCTTTACTTAAATATATTTAAAGTTTTGATAAAATTTTTTGTGTGAATAATATGTACAATAAATACTAAATGGACCGTATGTTTTGTTTTTTTGCAACAGTATTGTACACCCATTTTTTGAGCAATACCTTACAATGTGGCCTGATACCTTCCGAAGTCTTTCATACTCTATATTGGCCATCTTTGTAGTGACATTCCTCTTCCTTGGCCTAGACATTTATTCAGCACTCATAGTCGTCATAACAATTGTCATGATTATCGTCAATTTGATTGGTCTCATGTTTTGGTGGAACATTTCTTTAAATGCTGTGTCTCTGGTCAATTTAGTTGTTGTAAGTATTTATTTTTTCTGTTTGTTAGAACTGGTTTAGAATGCTATTTTTGAAAAATGGTTAACAAAATGGATTAAATACCTTTTTCCTTAATTAAAATTGATCAATTTTCAATCAATTGATAATTTATGTATATTAGTAATATACTGTAATTTGTGATGTCACTTATTGAATTTAATGCTTTATTTAAATGTTGACTTAGGAATACATGGGTGCCACTCTTCAGTCCTGGAGACTGAAATCAGTCTTGAGAAAAATCAATGGACTAATAAATTCTGTCAATTAAATTTAATTTTCTTTTTTTTTTCATTATAAATTTTAAAAAAAACTTCAAAATAAAAAAGTTATATTATATTTTAATGAAAACATTTATATGGTAATGATCTCAGGATTTTTATTTATCTTCTCTTTGTCAGCTTCACTAAATCTTATTCTTAAAGTCTTAACAAATGGGATTGATTGAACTTCATCTACTTGTGTAATTAAATTTGTACTATTGTTGTATCTAAATCTGCTCGAGTTTGCTTCTTCCACCCTAACCGATTGTCATGGTGGCCAAAGTTAAATCAAGATTATTTTTTTAAAAAAGAAAGAAATGCTAGTGCTAGAACAAAAAATAAATAACAGTGAAGTGAAAAATGGAGATATGAATTTTTTCAATAATAGTTGTAAAAAAAATACTAGGTTAGATGTTATTTTCGTTTGGGTTGCTAAAAAAACATAAAATAAAGAAAAAAATTTTAGGATAAATAATCAAATTATTGATTTAATGTGTAGGCTATTATCAGGGAAAGGTGAACTTTGGTGTCAGTGAGCTATAAATTTCTAAAAGTTTGGTAAACAATGCTAGGCAGTATTATTTGGTCAAAAAATAAGTCCAGTCTTGAAATTTTTTTAGAGTGGCACCTCTGTGAATAATAAGAGAACAAATTTGCTCCTTATTATCAACTTTGCTCCTTGCCTAAATTTTTGCATCTGCTAATTTTGTATTAGTTATCAATTCATAACAAACAATTGTGTTATTTAATAAATAAAAAAATGAATTGATTTTATGCAGGGCAGTGTTTCCCAAAGTGTGATACACGTACCCCCAGGGGTACATGAGCAGTTTAGCTGGGGTACACGTTTTTATGTGAAATATCTTGCAACAAACAAAAATTTCAAAATTTTTTATTTAAAAACAAAGCTAGCCATGAAAATTTACGATTACATATTTTTCTATTGAATATTTTTTGCAGAGTTGACCGTTAATAATTAGTGGTGTCAACAGCCAATTGTGATTTTTAACTTTAGTGCAATCTTTTTATAGTAAAAATTACATTCATTTTTTTATTAATGGTACACAGCTTTAATAAAAATTTAGAAAGGGTACACAAAAGTCATAAGTTTGGGAAACGCTGATGTAGGGGAATGAAAAATATTAAAAAAGCCCAGTCAATTAAGTTTAAAATATTATTAAAAAAATTCCAAAATCAAAATATAAGTTCAAAATAAGATATATTTGTGTGCAAATCTATTAAATTTACTAAAATATATATATATTTTTAATAATTTGAATAAATATTAATAAGATAGCCATTACAGGTTATAGCAATTGTTAATCTTTTATATGGCTTAACATTTTTATCACCACCATATACCTGTTATAGAAAAAGTGATTTATTTTAAGAGTAACAGGAGTACAGTAAAAAAAAAAGTTTGATAGGGAGGGTACTATTATGCAACTAATTTTTACCACAGATTAATTAAAAAAAATTGCCTTTTGACCGTAACTAATTTTGACGATTCATAATTTAACTTTTTTTATGGGAAATTTACATAAGTTTGTTAAATAACTCAGGCAATTTTATTTTCTATTATTCTTAGCGTAGTTATTTAAATACTAATTTAAAATGTGAATAATATGTCTAATATTGTTAATTTTATGTTTTTATTTTTTTTCCAGGGTGTTGGTATATCTGTTGAATTTTGTTCTCATTTAACACATTCATTTGCCATTAGTCCTGAACCAACAAGAGTGAAGCGAGCTCAGTCTGCTCTGCAAAGAATGGGTAGCTCTGTGAGTATATTTAAATGAAGTTTGCTAATGTTCTAAGAAAAAAGTTATTGAGAGATGAACAAGTCCTCATCAGATGCTAAAAAGCTATTTCATTGTTTCTTTATTATTAGCATAGCTGGTTGATGAGATTTGAAGTAAAAATTTTATAAGTGAAATGATTTTTATTTCGTGTGTAAATTTTTTTTTCTTGTTTGGTTAAGTAATTGTGGGCTTTTGAGTTGAGGGTTACAAAAAGTCATGGTTTTAAACAAAAGCTCAAATTAAATTGATGTTCTTTGATGGAGACAAATGTTATCTAGTGGCTGGGTGGCGCAGTTGGTTTGTCTACGGTCTTCTGAGCCCAAGTCTGCGAGTTCGATCCCCTGCCCAGACACCGGATTTTCGGGATGCAGAAAATCCTCAGCGGCCATGTCATATGGTTATGCGGCATGTCATATGATCCCTGGAATGCTTTATTGGCTCTTGGCATTTCCAGCAAAATTAAATTCCTATTCCACTTTAGCATCCAAATAGAGTCTCGGTGCTGCCATCTAGTGTGGCAGAAACTAGACGTCCAAATTAACATGACCAACGGTATCTCACCCATTGTGGAGGTCCTGAAAGAGTGGATACCACCTCTGGAGAACGCACTAGGTCTGCTCATCGGCAAGAACGATTGTGCAGCTCATTGGAAACAATAAAAAAAAATATATCATATTGGTGCACTTGGATATAATATAAATATTTTCTTCAATAAATGACATTATATTTCTCTTTAAGAGAATATCTTGGAACAAAAAAGTAAATAAATTACTTTTGAAAACACACATTTGAAGTATGTTGTATTTAAATATTTGAAACGATTTTAAAAATAGCTCAATATTATGAAGATAAGTGAATTCCATGTTTGGTTCAAACTTTAATGTAATATCTTTTATTGCGATATTGTTTTCAGTGAAAATAAGTCTTATGCTAAAATTCAAACTAAAAATTCTTTAAATTTTGAATCGCATACTGAAAATTTGGCCCATTTATATTAAAATTTCTCTTTTAAATATGTAAAATATTATGTATTATTATTGATTTGTACTTAAGACTTCTTTTCAAACATAAAAAAGTTCTATGTCCATGTTACAGCTCTGTTTTGTGAACCAGGTTGGCCACAGAACAGTGAACTGCCAATGTAATTATTTAAAATATCCCAAAAGCTCAATGTTCTAGTAATTTATTTTTAAATAAATTTTCTGTTTTCAACTCCAGTAGAAATTATAAGTATTTTGTATGTATAAGAATAAAAGAACATATTTTATGTATAAGAATAAAAGAACTGAAGCAAAACTGGAAAATTAATAATAACATTTGTGTCACTGGTTACAAAAATCCAGAAAATTTGATGAAACAGTATGGAGAGATCTAGATTTTTTGTTATGAGTGTTTGTTGCCACACTGAATGAAGTCAATTTCCTATTCATTAAGTATATTTTCCATTGATATTTTGGAGTATAAAAATGTACTGGATTTCTAAATTTTAAGAATATGAATATTTTTAAAACTTCAAAGTGATTGGAATAAATTTGAAAGAGTTTTTAGAATATTAAATGCAGGCTTGGGATTCTTTCACTAATGACTTCGGCGAATGAATAATTTATATTCCGTCAAAAAATTTTCTCGGAGTACCGTTAATCTAAAATTTAAATTTCGTTACTGACACAAAATTTGGCTAGCGAGACATTTATTCCTCTCTCAGAATTTCTCACTTTTCCCCCCTTTTTTAAAGCAACTTTGATAACGTGAGGCTGAAAAAAATAAAAACAACTTTGACTAGCATTATTGAGCTACTGAGCCAAACACTATCTAAAAAGTAATTCCAAAATGGCAAACATTTAAAAGGTTGTTCGTTAGGGAAAAAAATGGTGTTTTCTAATTTCTTTTTAAACTTCTATTTTAAGGAGTAGCAATTTTGTTGCAATTTCCAATTTGTAACAGAAAAATTATCTAATCAATGTGATTTTTTGGGGGGAGCTAGAGTTAGATTGAATTAGTTTCTAATATGATATTAAGGCATTGAAATTTTGAATCTGGTATTTCAGTAATCACTCGTATATCGTAAATATGGTATAAATATAATCATAAATCCATGTTGTGCGATTATTTTATTGGCTATTATTGCTACAATTTTTCTCCGTGTTTTGTTTTTTAAACCTCTATATTTTTTTATACATCATTATTACGACATACAAAATTCAATTCAAGAATTTATTAGTCACGTTTTAGTTGTGGCTATACCACTGTTTTTTCAATCGACTTTTTCACAGTTATTGCAACTGATATCCACCTAGTTTTTTAAATCCCGATATTTTCATTTGATATTATTATTAAGAAACGCGAAATTAAAACCACACATTTGAGTAATTCCTTTTTTATGTGCTTGATTTACACTAAATCCATGCGATATTTCAATTTTTTTCATCGGATAGTGCTGTTGCTTTTCATGTGATTTTTTAAAATCCAGATATTGTGATAAAAAAAATTCACATTGCGCAGCTGACTATTAAATTTGATGTCCTAATTCTATTTTTTTCAATCAATTTTCCAGCAGTTATTACTATTGATTTTCGCTTATTTTTTAAAATATTTTTAATAGGTTATTATTTATTACAACACATGAATTTCAAAGCATACATTTAATTAATGCCTTTTTGATGTGCCCGATTGGTGTGATGTCGACGTTTTTTACTAATCGCTCTCTTTCCAATTTTTTTTTAAAGCGATGATGTCTTGCAAAGTGCAAAAACAGAGGAATGTGCAACTTTTTGCTTTATAAAATGCAATTTTTTTTTATGTGTTGGTAAAAGGATAATTTATATAAAAAAAAAAAAAATGTCCTCTTTTTAAATTTTGTAAATGTTACTTTTGTGCGTAAAAAGGAATCGTTTATTATATTCATCATACAGAAATGAAATAAAATCAAGTACTTAAAAAAACTACACATTGAAAAATTGTTTTAAATAATTCCTTCCAGAAATAAATCTGTAAATGCTACAATATTGAATTTAGTTACTAGATTCCAAAGAATATGTGTTAATGAATAAAAACTATTAATTGTTATTTATTTAAAGGAATTTCACATATATTTCCATTAGTTGGCATAGTGGAAGTAGAAACACTTTTGTTTTTGAAGAAGACCCCTAAAACATATTGTTCCGAACATTAAAATTATGCAGATTAGCAATTTAAAATAAGACTTCATGCATATTTGCTTTTTCTATAAGTTCTTTTAGGAATTGAATAATGTATATCTCTTATTTTTTTCTCTTTAGATTCTGTCTGGCATTACTCTTACAGATTGTGGAATCTTAGTATTAGCATTTGCCAAATCCCAAATTTTTCAAATATTCTACTTTCGCATGTATTTGGGAATAATTGCTTTTGGCACATTGCACAGTCTTATCTTTTTACCAGTACTTTTAAGTTTAATTGGTGAGTATTGATTTATTTGCTAAAAAATTATTTTAATTTGTCTAAGTTATAATTTTGGAGTTAGATTTTTTAGGACTTCTCAGTTTTCTCAGTTTATTTTCATACTTTTCATTTTTCTGTCTTAATGTAATTTTGTTTCTTTAAATTTAAAGATACATGTGCATACTTAGAACTAATGCATAAATCTTATTAAAAAGTAGCTATAACTTTGATCTCTTGATAATTTAAACAAGCAGATGTTTAAACTTATATTAATGCCATCTGTTAATTCAAATCAAAATTTCTGCAATTTTGATTTTTACCTAAACACTGATTAGTAATTTACTTGGCATAATTTCTTATGAAAATATATAATAATAAACTTTTTTATTGACACGCATAACATACTTTACATGGTTACCAACAAAGTTTTTCATAGATTAAAATACTTACCGAAACCTTGAACTGTCCAAAACCTGTTTGATTGTTTAAAAAGAAAAAAAGATGAGCATCACTTTCAAGCTTGAACTGTAATCTGTAGTCTAATATGTTTTGATGTTTTCTGCTGGTCCTTTAATGGTGATTCTTCCTGTTCCGATAGCTTTAATTGTTAAATATTAATTGGCGACCCCTAATATGTAAACTTTTTCATTTCCTTTTTGACAAGCATTTAAAAACATATATAAAGAGCAGAGATTATAGAACACCATGATTAAAACTGGAAACCTTTATTCAAAATGTAAACTAAAATAAATCTATGAATTTGTTATAATTATTCATAATTGTAAATAAATTTTTGTATTTCTTAACAGGTCCTCCAGTTAATAAACAAAAGATGTACGATCACATACATCTTCAAAATATAGCATCTCGGTCCAGGATCACCCCTGCAAATGATGTAAGTTCTGTTTTCTTGCTTTACATTTCTAATTTTGTTTGTGTTCAAAATATTAATCAATGTTTATCTACACCAAGTGAGTGCTGGGCACCATTGGAATTACATTAAACTAAAAATAAATACTTGTTATCACTTATAATCTTATATTAATAAACATAATTAGTAATATTGATTAGCAGAAACTCTCCAACATTTAAGCAGGCACTGCTGAGGATTTACAGTGTCTGCAGATTATTTTTGATTTAAATTGAAAAAAAAAGAAAAAAATCTGACAAGCCAATCCGGCACTGCAGAGGATTTACAGCACCTGCAGATTACTTTAGATCTAAGGTTTATTATTAAAAAGCTAAGAAATGAATCGAGGCACTGTAGGTAAATTACAGCATATGCTGATTATTTTTTATTTTTAAAAAGCTTACAAACGAATTGAGAATTTTTTTTTAATTACTTGCTTACTGCTACTTATTGCATTCTTAATTAATAGGAATTTATTAAATTTTCTTTTAGTATGATGTAAAATTCAAATTAAATTTAAACAGCATAAAGTTTTTAGGTATAAAGACCTATATTTGCGAAATTTGCTACTTGAGTCTTATATTAAGCTGAATTTTTACAATAATTATCTCTGTCTAACTATGTTGAGGTCACAGACAAATATACTCTATTGCGGTGACATCTAGTGACAGAAGCAAAATAATGACGAAAGCAAAATAACCTGATTGGGAAAGATTATATGATGGGCAGTGCATCATAAGAAAGAGAGGGTTTTTTTACTCTGTATTTTAGCGCATTTAAATGTGGCCAATGTTTGATAGTAAAACACTTAAGGCCGTTGGCACCGTTGCCAGCATGTTATTCTATGGGAGAACATAAATCACTTTTTCTCAATAATTTACAACCTGACAGCTCAATGTTTAATATTAACGAATAGATCTCATTTAAACAAACATAACTAATGTAAAAAATTATTTTAAAATTCTATTAATAATTTTTAAAACGAGTTTAAATGTGATTTTAGAGTAATTTTCAAGAGTTTTTCACAAAGTTACTTTTTTAGCTAAATTCACGAAATTTTTTTTAAAAAAAACATATAAATACGTAGTTCGAACGTAATTTCAGCAATATGAAATTATACATTAGGAACTATTGCTAAAAAATGATTTTTTCCGGGGTATGAAACATTTTTCTACTCTGAAATCGTTCTTCAGTTCCTCCTTTTCTCTCCAGGAGGCTATCACTCAACCGTGAAGAAATCCCCCAGGCATGAAGAGGGGGACATAAGTGAATTTTCATGGTTGTCGTAAATAAACCTGCGATCTTTTTCGTAATGGTGGATTTCAATGGTCGCCAAGAAACAAACATTCACAAGAAGCATAGTCCCTGACAAGAAGTAATCATTTACTGAAATGAGTGATTCAGATCTTATTTTCCTTCACGGCCTAAGAATATCTTTTTCAAGATTGAAATAATGTTTAACTATAAACCGTGAGAGTAATTAACAAATAATTCAAAATTGAACATTAAAGCCATTTTCAATTTTTAGGTAAAAGATCATTTCGTTTACAAAATTCTTCCTATAGTTTTTTGAAAATTAGTAATTAAAAATAGTTTGTTCGGGGCAATTTTTTAATATCTCCTTTAAATTACTATCTAAATATTTCATAAAATATATCTTCACAATTTTTTTTCGACAAGGTATTTAAAACATTATTCTAAATAAGAAATATGAAGGAAAAAAATTTTACTGCTGTAAAGAGTTACCACCAATGAACTTAGGGTGAAGTAGCTTTGAAGATACGTAACTTATCATTTATAATGTATAAATTTTTTTTGTTGGAGGGGGGGGGGATAAAATAGAAAATCTGAAATAAAAGTATTAAATTTATTGTTAGTTATGAGTAATTTTATAATTATTACTTTAATCATTATTATTAATTCTATCAATGAAAGGAATTTTATTATTGATATTATTATTAATCATATTGTTTTTATTTGAAATTAAATTTTAAAATCAAACTAATAGAAAATTTGTTTGAAAGTCGTATATTTTCTTATTTAATTTCTTTTGTACTAGAACAAATAGTTCGGCTATGTTCAATATATTGCCCTATTTTTGCCTTAAGAAAATTAGTATCGTTTTACTTACATTGATATCTCCAAACACACTTTTGGCGTAAAGTTCCCGCAGGACAACATAGTGCAACATTATAAATTAGTTTTCTATGTGCTTTATTATGCATTGTGCTTTTGGATCAGGCAATTGCATCTTTCAACGCTCATACGGTCCATATTATACTTAAAAAGGGGTGTCAATGTTCTAATAAAAAGAGTAAACAACTTTTTTACTTAGTATTCACTTTGAAAATAAAATTGTCATAGTTCGTCAATATGTATAATTATTTGAAATTATAAGGCGTAGTTGTTGATAAAACTTATAACGATGCGTAATTTTCGTCCTTTTTAAGGTTTGTATGAATCCTGAATTATCTTAAACTCTTCCACTGATATTCTGATCTCTGAGCAAACATCGCCTACAACTATTTAGCTACACATTTATGGCTACTGCTTTCGTTTTGATCAAAACAAAACCAAATATCTGCTGCAAGTCACTATCCAAAGTGCAATATTATGAATTATTTCGACATATAAAGACATAATAGCTTTTAACTGCTAATAAAACGCATTCATTGTACTAAGAATCTGAATGTCAACTTAACTTATCGACATTAATACCAGTAAAATATACTTGAGACAAGATTTGACATCGCAGATAGCATACGAAACACAATGGGCTGGATAGATTTTATTGTTGCTCAACGTGTGCATTCTACAGAAAAGACAAATACTATCTTTATTTATTTTTATTTCTGGAAAACATTTAACGTAACGTAACGTCACAAAACGTAAGTGTCCCGTTTTACGTTACCTCAGTTTGAAGTTCCATGACATTTATTTATTTAAAGTGATATTTCCTTTTTATTTAATGAATTATTGTTGAGAAATAAGGTTCTAATTTAAATTTTTAAAATCAATCATTTTAATAATCCCAACATAAATTCCATTGACGAAATTGACATTTATGTAAGCGTTTTTAAATTTTGATGCTTGATAATCTTTTCATTTTTATTTATTAATTGTTAATAGTTAATGATATCCTAATGATATTTATTTAAAATTTACAAATATAGTTTAGGAGGTTTTATTATTAGCGACTCGAGTGAGCTCTCTAAAGAAATCCATCCAGAGGTCAATCCAAAGGTTGACCTCTCGGACAACCCTTGCTTCACACAAACGCTTTCTCCTATTCTTTTGTAAATAAGAGTAAAGATGTTTGGCTATGGATGGGTGGTCAAATGTAAACAATAACAAGCGTCCTTAAACCGGAAGAAATTTAGAAAATTTCCGGTGTATCCCTCCGCTTATGTTATGACTACGAGGCGATGTGTGAACAAGCCTAATATTCTATGCAGTTTTGTTATTGTAATTTGGGTTCAAATCTAAACATAATTGTACCATTCATAAGAGCTTTCAGAAATGTATTGATTCTCAGAGGTCGTAAGGCCAAAAAAATTTTTGGAAAGTTAATATCTCATTGTGAATAATTCTTAAGGTTTGCCATGTTTTGTATTTTA